GCAGGGACAGTTTTAGGCAAAAGACAGAGATTATAGGATCAGATAGTAATACGTTGATGTTGTGTTTATCATTACGCACAGGAAAGCCTACAATGTTCATGTCAATGTGACAATATAAACATTGTTCCTTACATACTTCAAGCTTTCATCCCATATCCAACTGACAGACTGATAAATTAGAATTCGACATCTTCTCTGTGATGTTATGCTCACACACTAATTGTATTTTACAACCTGTGAAAATCAGGGTTAGGAAAATTATTGATCTTCAGCATCCTATGCTTGTCATTAAAGGCAACTAATCGAGTGGTCAGGCTCACTGACTTGGTTTATGCTTATCATCATATCCCAATTGTGTAGATTGATGCTCATAATGTCGGTCACTGGATTGTCCGGTCCAGACTCTATTATTTACAAACTGCCATCATATGTCTTGAAAATTGCTGAGTTCCACATTGCACAACAAACAGACACTATTATTTACTATATCGTTAATATTTATTTGCTATAAAACAAAATTTCCAGGATTCTTTTCGTTTTGAGAGGATGTGATATTTAATTTTTAAACATGATATACCAAGGCCAACACTGCTGCTTTTTGTTGTCATGCCATAAAAGAGAAATTTGGCGAAGTAACTGGTGAACTTTAATCAACAAGAATATAATATACTTGAAATTAATTATGAAATGAAGCTCCTCTTTCAGGGTTGTATTGTGTCAGGATTGTTTACAAAATTCTGATCAGGCATTCTGTGATTTTTGTTTACAATTTTCGACGTGTTATGCAAACAAATAACTTCACCTTATGATCTCACTAAAGTATTGTCGGAAATAAAAAAACCCTGTTTTTTCACATTTATCTCTACAATGTATGGAGTTGATATGTGAAATATCTGTTAAACTAAGTTTGGCCTAACTACAGTCTCAGTGGTAGGGAGATAGGAAACGTAAAAAAAAGGACTTTACTGAGGAGAGATTAGTGCAGAAATGATCAATGTGTTTTTTTCAAGTCCAAAGCGACTTATTTAGAACAGACCATGGCTTTATGCAAATTAGTGTGTGATGATATTGTATTACAAAGGAAACTTTTAAATGCCCATTTTGAAATTAGACTTAGCTTCATTATTAACGATATCTGATGTAAATATTAACAACTTTCATGCTGAAACTATAAAGGATGTAGCTACCATGGAGTTTCACTGTCACTATAAAAAGAAACAGATACAGAGGGGTCGTCACAAAAGCAAAACCAGGACGGGTGTCGCAGATGATGGTTGGGGTCGGGCTGTGGGATAGAGATATCAGCCAAGATAAGATAATCCTTTAGGGGAATTATACTGGAGAAGTACACGGTATGTCATAACAATTTACAAATTATATCATGCCACCTATATATTTTGAGACATTTAATACGATGCTTTTCAATGGTTATCAGGTATCATACTCTTTTACATATCTCAACATAAACTTTATGAAAGAAAAACATAAGATGTTAATCAATAGATGAGACACATGAAAAAGCACAAAGTATCTTTGAGATGACCCCCTGTAGGCAGCACATGAATTTCATGCCAGGTGAGTCAATTGTCCAACGTCATACCTGCCTGAGCAACCTAATTGCCATCTATAGTCTGATCTATTGTTTTCAGCAGCTATTCGTACTTTTCCTAAGTTTTGCCCAATTTTATGAGTAAAGATGCTTTTCTGGATATCCTTTTACGCATCCCACTGAATGCCCAGTTAGGCCGAAGTGGGTTATTTCGACATATGCTATTTGCAGTTGTGTAAATTTAGGGATACAGAGTAACAGTCTGAAAACAGTTTTTTTCTATTTCCTACAGTACTTTAGTTATCACCTCTGGCAGTGGTTGTCTGCACATGTGTACTCAGCGTTTTACCTTGACCAACAGAATCAGCTATCGACAGGACCCCAACTTACTAATTTCAAGGGTCCCTACATGAAATATGAGGGTCCTCTAAGGTTAATGAAGTGATGTAGCAGACTGTACTGTAACATTTAATGATTACTTTAGCTACATGGACTTATTCTTTCTTGTCACGAATTTTAAAAGTAAATATTATTATATGTCCCAGGAGTCAAAGTATATATATGTTTCTGCATCCATTCTATACATTTGTGCATATTGGACGCACATGTCTGTGTTGTGTAAAACCCTGGTAATGTTTTTTTGATATTGTAAATCTTTACCTTTGCTTGACCTTTGCACTTAAACAGTGCTTCCAAGTTCTCTCTAACTATTTCCTCACACTGTAAACACTATTTCCACAGAAAGTACTAAGCCCACCACTGATGTCATCTCAAACATTAGAAGAGTTTGGAATATTATGCTGTTTCACCATGTTAACAGCCAGATATTTCATCAGTTCATAACCATTTCCTAATTATTAACGTTGCATCAAATTTGTACTTGTATAATTAACTGGACTCTCTACAACTCTCTCATTAACTAAGTTGTAAATGTGATACCAATCATCCCAGGCAATTATTGCCTTCCATAAGAAAGAATTTTGTTTGTACATTCTTTATGGTTCAAATTTTGTTTGTATCTAAAACTTGACTTGATAAGTTACTATATACTCTCTTTGTTATTGTCTTGAAATGCTTCAGATATAGAAGTAAAGTGTGGTGCTCTATTTTATAGACAATGTAGAGCCATCAATGCTGATGTGATTTTCATGATGATCAGAATGTTTACCGTATATTACCGTAGATAAGCTGAATTTTGAAGACCAATAAAAGCAGTCTGTAGAAGGGGGTCGGCTTATCTATGGGTTATGCTTTCGTCAAACTTTTTTCCAGGGGTAAGAAAACAACATCATATCACTTCGCGTGAATAAACAACAGAAGACGACTTTGGCAGTAAAGACGTCAAATTTGCAATTAAACATCCCTAGACAAGATTTATTACCTTTTAAGTTTAAAGTTGTTTTTGTTGGGCATTGTATTATTTGCAGGGATTAACATTACCGTGTGTATTTGAGCCGGAAAGAGCAATCAGCTGTGCACACGTTTCGCGGCGATCAAGTTCAAACATGCAAATAATATAACGGGATGAATTCTGACGCAATCATCAGTAAAATATAATACAGAATACTACTATTTAACCCAAAGAAATATATCCTAGCATTGTGTAATTTTAAATACAGGTTTTGCTCTATAATTGTAAAATATATATAATCAACACTAAGGTTATACAACCCTCATGAACGTGGTAAGCGGAAGTTGTACACACATGGAATAGGGTAAAAGAAGCAAGCCATTTAAATTCACACATTTTGACCGATGTTACTGTAAACTAGCAGTCCATGGAAAACGAGGCGGTAATCAGTTCATGATTGTTGATAATATGATGTGAAATTGGCTATCGCGGTTGGAGCAAAAAACGCACCTTCATAAACGTGGTAAGCAGAAGTTGTACGCACATGGAATGGGGTAAAATAAGCAAGCCAGTCTGTTGACATGTGATTGTCCAGCTACAATAAGTATGATATTAAGAGAAACAAAATATATTATCCATTTTCTGTCAACTACACTTCATTTCGATGCGTGAGTAGACACAATATGATTGTGAAGACGCAATATGATTGTGAATTCTTTGAATAATGTGGACCAAAGTTATAATTATCGGTAACTGCCAGTTGTCTGCGGTCTGTGTTTGCCACAATTAGGAACCTGTCGCGGGGGATCGGCTTATGTACGAAACATACCATTTTGACACTGATTTTAAGGGTCAAGTTTGGGGGTCGGCTTATCTATGGGGTCGGCTTATCTACTGTAATATACGGTACCTTATATGACCTGTGGAGGTGTCATCAGATCTTTACACAGATGGGTATGATTTGGAATTCATTACTGTTTAAGGGGCGGTGGAGCAGCCTAGTGGTTAAAGCATTCGCTCGTCACGCTGAAGACCTGGGTTGATTCCCTACATGGGTACAATGTGTGAAGCCCGTTTCTGGTGTTCCCCGCTGTTATATTGCTAAAAATGGTATAAAACTAAAACTCACTTGCTCAAAACCTGAAAACAAACTTCAATGCGTTGTAATTATAGATCAGTGCGGAATAAAAATCAAACTCATTCACTACTGTTTAACATGTTTAAAAGATCAGTTTTTAATTAGATTGTAAGCTGAGAGCATGACCTTGAGAAGTAATTGATGTATTCTACTTCCTAGAATCCTGAGACCGTGAAATGTCCGGGACACGACCAGAAACTGAGGCCAGTACAAGTTCAGTGACGGGTGGTTCTGGTGGGGAGGAGAGACAACAAAGAAAGACAACTCTGTCACTGCCTGCACGTCAGTGGCCACTAATACAGACGATGTAGGTACCAGTGAAGGAGATCAGTGGAATCTGGATACATTACTCCCTGGAGAGGTCAGTTCTTGCATTGTTAATACAGGTGTAGCATATAAAAAATAAATAGAATGTGAGCCCATAAAAGTTTAAAACTCTGAGGCCTACTCAGGAGTTTTTACATTTATGGATGAGTGTTTATAAATTTGATATCAAAAGACACGAGGGTACTATTCTACTGGACGGTTGGGTAGCCTAGTGGTTAAAGCGTTTGCTTGTGATGCTGAAGGCCCGGTTTGATTCCCGACATTGGTACAAATGCTACAATGTGTGAAGCCCATTTCTGGTGTCCCCTGCCATTATATTGCTTGAATATTGCACAAAGCGGCGTAAAACTAAATTCACTCACTCACTATTCTACTTATTTATGAATCATTCTCACAAGTTTTCAGTTTGTTATCGGTGGTGGGGTAGCCGCGTATTTAAAGCGTTCGGTCGTCACGCTGAAGACCCAAGTTCGATTCCCCACATGGGCACAATGTGTGAAGCTCATTTCTGGTATCCCCCGCCATGATATTGCTGGAATATTGCTAAAAACGGTGGAAAACCATACTCACTCACTCAGTTTGTTATCATTATATGGCATCGCTATATGGCTGAAATAATACCGATGCGATGTTAAATGTTAACTCACACACTTCAGTTTGTTAGCTCCCATAACCAGTGGTCGAGTGTAAGAAGAACAGCCAACTAACTTCAATAGCAAAGTGTTTAGTAATGTAATTTGATTGTCATGTGAACCGGACAGCTGCCGGTTTTGACAGCTTCCACTGTATATGCTGATTGAGCATGTTTGTTTCTTTATGAGACCATACACCCACTGATATATGTATTCATAATGCTCCAACCAGGACAAGAACCCATTTGTAGGGCTGTCAGATGAACAGCTTGGGCAGCTTGAAGATGTACTGTCCAGTGAGGAGGTGAAGAAGCTCCTACAGACCACAGACCTTGAGACCCTTGAACACAGCTTGATATCCAACATGGCCGCCGAGGGGTCCAGTGCACCAGTACATAAAGTGGACACATTAAACTCATCTGATGACTCACTCAAGCTGGACATATTTGGTGGACAGAACGTCATGGATGAGGCCTCTGCTCATCAACTAATAAGGGTTAGTGTACAGTTGTAATAGTTCATAACTCCTACAGCATTTCGCCGGGCAGTTAATGGAAGACCGCAGGCTTCTGCAAATGATAATGCCCTCAAAAATAGCATTACCGTTATTATTGCTAAAATACATGGAATTTGTGTTGAAAAGAAAAAGGAAACAATGAAGGAATTTGACTGTAAGTTTACTCAAAACCAACTTCTGACGGGGTTGGTTGACTGCCCGAATGCAATTACGTCATGGAACAATTCAAGTGACGTCACAACAGAAAGTGACGATATTCGACCTTGGCCTTTAACAAGACCATAGTCTGCAACATGTCAAACTATGTCAGTGTTTGGTTTTGGTCCAACAACAACGTTAATAGTGCAATTGTTAAGGTTAGCACCAGCAAGAAAGCCAATATTACAGCTATTTAAAGCGGGAATTCGGGTTGCTTTGACTTGTTTGACCCAGAATATCTGCCAGTCCAAAGCCAATGTCGAATGAACCGACGCACCCACTATGACGTCACTTGACAACAGAACTGATAGTGGCCCGTCATTAAGGTTGAGCAGGCCAATATCATTTGCAGCGGCCCGCAAATTTCTGATAATTCCATGTGTTTTAGCTATAATAGTTCATAACTCCTACAGCATTTCCGGTAGTGACTGGATGTGTCAGTGACTCTGAGGTCAACAGAATGACATAAACAGGGCTCCAGATAATTTTTCAACATCAGGAGTACGTACTCTTTATTTGTTCATTATAGGATTACTGGAAAAAACTTAAGAGTACATTTAGAGTACTGAATGGAAATTAATGGAGTATCGGCAATCTTGTGTTTTGTTTCATATATGAACCACTACATTGCTACTCTTGTGTAAACAGGTCAATAAACAATAAAACAATACTTTTTCAGATAAATACGTCTGTAAATGATCGTACACCATTGCTGTAGTGCGTATCTGCTACGTTTCCTATATTATTTCCTACCATATCATGCATATTTTTTATCCGTACATACGCCGATACAGCCTTTATCTGGAGCCCTGACATAAATATGGCGTGAATACGAGTCCTTACGATCATGTGACTTGCTATGGAATCATCTGTAAAGTTGGACTATTAGTACATTGTTATTATGAGCCCAGTGATTGGCTTGTTAGACACAGAATGGGTTCAAACCATACATGGATAAAAGTGTTAAGTCAGCATCTATTGTCCATCACAGTTATGTTGCTGATCCCAAGTGAAACACAAACTGGGTAGTAGTTGCCAGCAGGGATGTATATGTAGGATGAAACAAGGGGAATATGACAGCAAAATCTCAAAAATTAAGTATTGCAATACTCATCAAATCTTGGTGTATTGAGACATCACCTATTCCAGGGTATAAGAAGATTTGGCTTATTTAGGTAACTGACTATTGATGAACCGTACTGTGTCAAGATAATAATAATAATAATAATGTGTCCATTTATGTAGTGCCAAACTCCACACTAGGTATGTTCATAGCGCTAACAATCAAGGCACAGCACATTATTACCCCGGATAACCCAAGCTGCCTGTTAGGCGCTAGAAGGTTATAGTCATATGACTTTTTCCACCGGGTACCTATTTTCCTGCTGGGTGAACAGAGACAATTTTGAACAAACTCACTTGCCTAAGGTGAGACCACATGTGTCACATGTGCTTCGTTGTGGGGCAGGACTCAAGTCCTAGAAACTCTCAGGAGTCAAGCTCAATATGTTCAGGCGGTGGGGTAGCCTAGTGGTTAAAGCATTCACTCGTCATGCCAAAGACCCGGGTTTGATTCCCAACATGGGCAAAATGTGTGAAGCCCATTTCTGGTGTCCCCCATCCGGGATATTGCTGGAATATTGCTAAAAGCGGCATAAAAACAAACGCACTCAATATGTTCACGTTAATGTTTATTTGTGTGATGAAGCTGATGAGACCCTGTCTATGCATGATATGTTTACTGGTAACAATGAACAACCACGTAATGCATGATATCTCCTTGGCAGGACAGTGTCCGGGAACATGAATTAGCAGTAGTAGCTGCTGCCTTTAACGATCATGCATACGCTTGTCAACCTCCCAAACCACAACCGTCCATCTCAAAGGTGACCGAGGCGTATACCCCTGATGACACCCCCGACACCCCTCCTGAGGCCCCTCCTCCTGCTGTCCCCAGCATCAGTGCAGTGGCAGTCTCCTCCCTGTCTCCGGCAGTCCAGCAGGCTGATGTGGGGGTGGGGGCAGACCTTGACAGCGATGTGGAGAAGACAGAAGAAGATAGTATGGTGGAGGATGAAGTGAAGGAAGTAAAGAGAGGAAGAAAGAAGAAAACAGAGGATGCTTCACCACAACCATCCAGGTAAGTCTTGAGCTAGGTACCAGACAGCCTGTCAGTGATGTAGGTTGTCCATCTATCCAAGAAGGGTTTACATCCATGGGGTGTTATTTTATCAGTCCAGAGAGTCAAATTGTAGGGGCTATATGTTAACTTGGGTCAAAAATTGGGATTCCAGAGAAGAGTTAACACTTCAATACTTCATTCTACCAAAATTGAAATAAGATTGCATATGCTCAGGGGCCAAGAATCTAATAGAAATTAATTAATTAACCAATACATTTAATCAGTCTAATATGTAGTCCCCAACAGAAGCAAATCTACAGGTATTTGTGCTGGAAGATTGTGAAGCATTATATGGTAGTTATTGTTATGTGGGGGCGGTGGGCTAGCCTAGTGGTTTAAGCGTTGGCTCGTCACGCCGAAGACCCGGGTTCGAATCCCCACATGGGTACAATGTGTGAAGCCCATTTCTGATGTCCCCGCCGTGATATTGCTGGAATATTGCTAAAAGCGGCGTAAAACCAAACTCGGTCAGTATTGTTATGTGTAAATTATGAAATAGCAGCATTCATCTGTAAACATGCATAGGATCAAATGCTACAAAATGGTGGTCCCAGAGAAATGTCAGACACTGAATTCTCTATTCCAACACAAATGCACATGCTGGGAGGCCAATATTTGAAAATATATATGGAATTTTGCAACTGGTACGACTCTAAATATTTTTAAACATTATGTACACAAATTTGTAGATAGTGGTTTCAAATGAGATATGGCAGCATTCATTCCTTAACATGCCAACAATCCTTTTGCATCTCAGTGGAAGCGCTCTGCATTTTGGGGATCTGTATTTAATGTATATGTGCATATGATGCACCCATATTATGTATGTATTTGTGGTCTGTTATAGACGTTCCAGTCGAATCAGTGACCATGAGCAGCGAGTAAAGGCTGAGCAGATACGCCAGGAGAACCGGCGCCTAGTGAAGGAGGTCCAGGAGGGGAAGCAGAAAGGGGGTACACAGCCCGGAGATCAGGGGGACACCACTCCCACAGACATCACGCCCACAGACACCAACAATGACGTCAGCAAGGTAGGGGAACATGGAGCGCTTAAAAGCCCACATTTAGGACAAGGGAACCTTACTGTCCCATATGTCAATACATCCTTGGGGCATCAATAATGCAGGTGGAAGAATCTAGCTTTTCAAGAATCATATCATGCGTGTCTTTAGGGGATATCTTTTCTTCATTGCATAGAAAGGTCTCAAGATACAACATTGTATTGCTGTATCACTAAACCACTAGCATTATTTTAGCAGTTGTATAAGATTTTTCATGATTTATGTCACATGATCACATGCAGAAGCTATATCCATATCATTACATGCAAATATTATTACATCCAGTAATTACCCAATGGGACCAGTGAAGGTCCGGGTTAGAATTGGTCTTCGGTAACCCATGCTTGTCATAAGAGGCGACTAACAGGATCGGGTGGTCAGGCTTGCTGACTTGGTTGACACATGTCATCGTATCTCAATAGCGTGGATTGATACTCATGATGTTGATCACTGGATTGTCTGGTCCAGACTCAATTACTTACAGACTGCCGCCATAGAGCTGCAATATTACTGAGTGTGGCCTTAAACAACAATCCAACAACCAACTAATCTTGATGTGTTCTTTGTAGCCGAGTCCAAGTCCCAAAAAAGTTACGAAAGAAGATGAGGGTGAAGACGAGGAAGCTGAGGAGGATTCAGGCGGAAGGACGCCCCCTGCAGACAACCCAGCTCAGAGACGGAGGGGGCGTCCACAAACACTTAGCAGTAGGATCATCACACGCAGGGTTGGACGAGGAGCCACCACCAAGACGGAAGAGAGTGAACCGGAAGAGGAACCAGTTCAAGTCACACCGACCAGAGGTCGTGGCCGGGGGAGAGGGAGGGGCAGGGGACGAGGAAGAGGCAGGGGGCGTGGCAGGGGTCAAAGTCAAAATCAGGAAGAAACCCAGGTTGAAGAGCCTAAACCAGGACGGGGGAAGAGAGGTCGAGGTGCAGGAAAGCTGGCAGAGGATGTTGGTGAAGAAGAAGAAGAGACAACGCCACGTAGAGGAGGGCGGAGGAAAGTCAAAGACAAAACGGAAGAAGTTACAGAGAAGGAAGATAATAACACGCCAGTTAGGGGAAAAAAAGGGAAGAAGAAAGCAGCCAAGCAACAAGAAGAAGAGTCTGTAGAAGATGCGGCTAGTCAAGAAGAAAGTAAACAAGAAGAAATTGGGGAAGAGGAGAAAGTAAAGGAAACAAAAGGGAGAAGAGGAAGGAAGGCAGCAGTGAAGGATATTGAGGTGCAAGCTGATATTGAAGAAGCGCCAGAGAAGGTGGAAACTCCAAGGAAGACCAGGAAAGGGAAAGGGAAGGGAAAGAAGGAGGTTGTGAAAACTGAGGAAGAGGTTACTCCTAAAGGAAAGAGAAAGGGAACAAAAGGTGCTGCGTCTAAAAATGCTTCTCCTGCAGTGAAGGGTGAAGAAAAACCTGAAGAACCTCCAGAATCAGAAGAAGGTAAGGAAGAGAAACAGATTGTGGTTGATAGCATAGTGAAGGACGAAGAAGAGCAGAGTAAGGATGAAGCTGTTAATGAGAAGGAAAAGAAGGAAAAGCGAGACTCCATCAATGATGATATCAAGGAAATATTCGGAAGTGATGAGGAGGACATGCAGTCTGAAGACGATGAGAAGAAGGAGGTGGAGGAAGAAGGGGAAGGAGAGAAAAAGGAGGAGAAGGTCAAGAAGAAGAAGAGAAAAAAGAGGAAGGAGTCCGAAGAAGGGGGAAAGCCTAAGAGGAAGAAGAGTCGTGAGGACAGCAAGGATTCTGTGAAGCGAGAAAGGCGAGACAGCAAGAAGGTAGGAGAACAGGAAGTGCAGGCTGGTTGTTATTTCAAATATGATGATGTGACTTTCATTACTCTAGTAGTTGGACTCTGTCTTACAGTTGTCATTACTCCCATACTTTGACTTACTACTGTTATTACTCCCACAGTTTAGCATTGACTTACAAGTCATTACTCCAATAGTTTTACACTGACTTCAAACTATTGTATTCCTATAGTTTAACACTGACTTACAACTGGTGTAGCACTCTGACTTTGATTAATCTCAATCTTTTAACTTCCACTACAACTGATATGACTCTGTAACTAGCTTACCATTAAGTTAAGACTGGTACAGCACTGTGTTGCTAGTCATATTAACAATATGCTTCAATTAGGATTCTGGGTGGAATATTTCACAGCTTCTAACATGTTTGACATTCTCCTGCCCTTTATCATGTGTTTGGAGAAATATACGGCATTAGATTTCAACATGTTCTACTTAACCTTTGTGTTTGAGAATCAAAGACACAAATGCTTCCTTTGTTTGATTTGATGATAATTCTTAAAGGTGGTGAATTCAGAAAGAATTGTGATGATGAATGGATCAGTGTGCTAAAATGATGTCTTTGTTGTTGCAGAGTGAAAAGGATTCCGATGAGGAGATAACGCCACAGAAAGGAAAGAAAGATAAAAAGGTGTGTTGTGTGTCATGTATACAATGTACAGTTTGTGTATATTGATGCTGCATGTAGAGCCTGGAATAGCAGTGTTTCTGTATTATGTTTTGTGTCATGTGTTTAATGTATTTGACTGTTCAACGTGCTCAAGTAGTGTGAGTCACTACGCACTTAGGTGACCAGGGGTTTAAGGGCAGCAGTTAGGTGTGCAGAGTTATGTAACTTAGACATGCTAGGATTTGCTGTTTATTGTGTTTGAATCCCGGATTGGAACTGATTCTGATCTTTGGTCTGTCAGGAGTCAACCATAGTTGTAAACCTGCATGAAAGTAATGATTCATGTGTACTGTAGTGGCACCTTGAAGTAATATCAGGGATGGCAATTTTCGGCTGATCCACAGATTTCAGCTGATTTTATTTCAAATTGATCAATTCTGTGAATCATTTCTAAATCCTTTGAGAAACCCTGACGCCCCATTTGATGACACAATATTAAGTTTTCAGCTGAAAATAGATTTCCCTGTTGCCATCTTTGTAATGTGTAATGTTTCTGTTGCCATCCCTGTAATGTGTGATGTTCCTGTTGCCATCCCTGTAATATGTAATTTTCCTGTTGCCATCCCTGTAATGTGTAATTTTCCTGTTGCCATCCCTGTAATGTGTAATTTCCCTGTTGCCATCCCTGTAATGTGTAATTTACCTGTTGCCATCCCTGTAATGTGTAATTTTCCTGTTGCCATCCCTGTAATATGTAATTTTTCTGTTGCCATCCCTGTAATATGACACTTTCCTGTTGCCATACCTGTAATATGTAATTTTCCTGTTGCCATCTCTGTAATGTGTAATTTTCCTGTTGCCACCCCTGTAATATGTAACTTTCCTGTTGCCATCCCTGTAATATGTAATTTACCTGTTGCCATCCCTGTAATGTGTAATGTTCCTGTTGCCATCCCTGTTATATGAAATTTTCCTGTTGCCATCCCTGTAATATGTAATTTTCCTGTTGCCATCCCTGTAATATGTAATTTTCCTGTTGCCATCCCTGTAATGTGTAATTTTCCTGTTGCCATCCCTGTAATGTGTAATTTTCCTGTTGCCATCCCTGTAATGTGTAATTTTCCTGTTGCCATCCCTGTTATGTGTAATTTTCCTGTTGCCATCCCTGTAATGTGTAATGTTTCTGTTGCCATCCCTGTAATATGTAATTTTCCTGTTGCCATCCCTGTAATGTGTAATTTTCCTGTTGCCATCCCTGTAATGTGTAATGTTCCTGTTGCCATCCCTGTAATATGTAATGTTCCTGTTGCCATCCCTGTTATATGAAATTTTCCTGTTGCCATCCCTGTAATATGTAATTTACCTGTTGCCATCCCTGTAAAGTGTAATTTCCCTGTTGCCATCCCTGTAATGTGTAATGTTCCTGTTGCCATCCCTGTAATGTGTAATGTTCCTGTTGCCATCCCTGTAATGTGTAATTTTCCTGTTGCCATCCCTGTAATATGTAGTTTTCCTGTTGCCATCCCTGTAATGTGTAATTTTCCTGTTGCCATCCCTGTAATGTTTCTGTTGCCATCCCTGTAATGTGTAAATTTCCTGTTGCCATCCCTGTAATGTGCAATTTTCCTGTTGCCATCCCTGTAATGTTTCTGTTGCCATCCCTGTAATGTTTCTGTTGCCATCCCTGTAATGTGTAATTTTCCTGTTGCCATCCCTGTAATGTTTCTGTTGCCATCCCTGTAATGTGTAATGTTCCTGTTGCCATCCCTGTAATGTGTAAATTTCCTGTTGCCATCCCTGTAATGTGCAATTTTCCCGTGCCATCCCTGTAATGTGTAATTTACCTGTTGCCATCCCTGTAATGCGTAATGTTTCTGTTGCCATCCCTGTAATGTGTAATTTACCTGTTGCCATCCCTTCCCCCGTGACGCGCTTTGCAGGGGGTATTAAAATGGACTCCGTCCGTCCGTGCACTTTTGTCTTTTCCGGAGCAGAACTCTAAAACCGTTGACTATTTCTTCACCAAACTTGGCACATAGATAGATCTGGTGGTGTACTGGTGCCTTTTGGTAGTTTTGGATTTCTGAATAAAATATTTTTAGCATTTCCATGGCAACAAGCTTGACTAAAACTGAAATTAGTGGTAGTGCTCTTTTCCAGAGCAGAACTCTAAACCTGTTCACTATTTCTTCACCAAACTTGACACATAGATAGATCTGGTGGTGTACTGGTGCCTTTTGGTAGTTTTGGAATTCTGAATAAAATATTTTGGCGTTTCCATGGCAACAAGTTTCACTTTGACTGAAATTGGTGATAGTGCTATTTTCTGGAGCAGAACTTTAAAAACCTTTCAATACTCTCCTTCCACTTTTCTATATACACACCTAAATATTTGACATAATCATAACTCATAGACATTATCATAAAGAGTATTTTGCCATTGCAGGGGATATTGATGACTTTGTCTTCTTGTGTGTAATTTTCCTGTTGCCATCCCTGTAATGTGTAATGTTTCTGTTCAGGACCAGAAGGGGGAAGAGGGTAAACACTCGAAGAAGAGTAGGGGAACGAAGGAGGAAGACCTTGATATTGATATGTCTGAATTTGGCCGCTACCCATCCAAGAACCCTGACAGTAGTCACAAGGCCCAGCGGCGCAAGTCACACAAGCTGTCCGAGACCGAAGTATTCCTGGATCCAACAATGACTGATTTGTTCAAACCAGATGCTCTCATTCGACACGAAGGTGCTGTAAAGAAGGAAGACCTTGAAAAGAAAGATGATCAGGAACTTGAAGATGGGTCAAAGGTCAAAGAGGCGAATGAGGTCAAAACAGAAGAGGTTAAGGACGTTGTCACTGAAGTTGGTACAGAAGATGGTAAAGAGACAGTACAGATGGAAGTAACGCCTGTGAAAGAGGAAACTAAATCTGAACCTAAAACTGAAGAAGTAATGGCTGGTGAAAGTTCAGAGGTTACGAAGGCCGAAGGTGAAAGTTCAGTGGATCCCAGCAGCAGTGTTAAAACAGAAGGGTCAGGGTCAGAAGTGAAGGTCAAACACAGACGTCGCACAGACAGCGAGAAGAGCGACAAGCAGAGAGTCAAGAAGAGAGAACGGAGGAAGAAATTGTTTGGAACAGACATTGATGGTGGAAGTGGCAAGTACTTTAGCTGATTTTTTTGTACACGTCAAAAGGAGTTAGCTTTCAACTGATGATTATTTCATGTTTCCAAGACCAGTGAACTCTGACTTCACATAATTTAAAAGATACTCTCTTTACCTGGAAAGGAGAACCCATAAACAAATATTTCAGTGGTTAGAAGTTGGTCAATTATGACATGAACCTTATGTGCTTCAATTTTGAGACATGTTATCATACATTTTATAGCCACAATATTTAACATGGACCCAAACATTCCAGCATTAGCTTTCAAATGTTAAAGTTACAAGTTGGCAATGAAAGGCCATTTAAAGAAAGTCCTGTGCAAGGCAAATATTTCTCAGTGATGTGGCTGCTTGTATGAGGAATATGTCTATGTTATGGGTTTTCTTCAAGGCTGGTTTGAAGTTCTGTTGTCTAGCTGTTTTTACTTCTGATATAACGCTGATCAGTCACACACACTGACAATGCTGATGAGAAATATAAACATTCCCTTACAGATAGTGAAGGAGGGAACTTGAGCTATGAAGATGATGAGAATGACTCGGACTGGGACCCTAGCACCGACCCCAACACTCTCTACTGTATCTGTAGGAAGCCACATGGGAAGAGGTGGGTCATGGTGTCATGCACTGGACAGACTCTTACTTAATGGCAACAAGTAATCCGTCAAACAACTGGTAGTTTGTCATTTTGAACAACCTTCACTAACATACTCCACGAACAGCTAGAAAGTAATACCTTACCCTAATGATACTAAGTGTTTTGCAATAGGAGAGTTAATGCTGTTATATTTCTCCAGGTTCATGATCTGCTGCGACATGTGTGGGGAGTGGTTCCATGGTAGCTGTGTTGGCATCAGCAAGGAGCAGGGCAAGGAGATGGAGAAGAAGAACGAGGAGTACAAGTGTTCATCCTGCATAGGTACTTGTGTTACATTTAGAGATGGCTGCATAGGTACTTGTGTTACATTTAGAGATGGCTGCATAGGTACTTGTGTTACATTTAGAGATGGCTGCATAAGCACTTGTATTGGTGTTAAAGTAAGCTGTATGGGTAATTGTGATACTTGTTGTTAACAGAGTGAGTGAGTGAGTTGGGTTTTACGCCACGTTTAGCAATATTCCAGCAATATCACGAAGGGGGCACCAGAAATGGGCTTCACACATTGTGCCCATGTGGGGAATCAAACCCGGGCCTTCAGTGTGAAGAGCAAACGCTTTAACCACTGGGCTACCCACTGCCCCTGTTATTAACAGATAGCTACATAGGTAGTTGTGATGGTTTACAGGTCACTACATGGGTACTTGTGTTGGATTTACTGATTGCTGCATTGGTTCTGCCTGCAGTTATGTTACATTTACCAATGGCTGTATGGGTTCTGCCTGCAGTTGTGTTACATTTACCAATGACTGTATGGGTTCTCTATTCAGTTGTGTTACATTTACCAATGGCTGTATGGGTTCTCTATTCAGTTGTGTTACATTTACCAATGGCTGTATGGGTTCTGCCTGCAGTTGTGTTACATTTACCAATGGCTGTATGGGTTCTCCCTTCACTTGTGTTACATTTACCAAATGCTGTATGGGTTCTCTATTCAGTTGTGTTACATTTACCAATGGCTGTATGGGTTCTGCCTGCAGTTGTGTTACATTTACCAATGGCTGTATGGGTTCTGCCTGCAGTTGTGTTACATTTACCAATGGCTGTATGGGTTCTGCCTGCAGTTGTGTTACATTTACCAATGGCTGTATGGGTTCTCCCCGCACTTGTGTTACATTTACCAATGGCTGTATGGGTTCTCTATTCAGTTGTGTTACATTTACCAATGGCTGCATGGGTACTCTATTCAGTTGTGTTACATTTACCAATGGCTGTATGGGTTCTCTATTCAGTTGTGTTACATTTACCAATGGCTACAAGGGTTCTGCCTGCACTTGTGTTACATTTACCAATGGCTGTATGGGTTCTGCCTGCAGTTGTGTTACATTTACCAAATGCTGTATGGGTTTTCTATTCAGTTGTGTTACATTTACCAATGGCTGTATGGGTTCTGCCTGCAGTTGTGTTACATTTACCAATTGCTGTATGGGTTTTCTATTCAGTTGTGTTACATTTACCGAATGCTGTATGCGTTCCCTATTCAATTGTGTTACATTTACCAATGGCTGTATGGGTTCTGCGTGCAGTTGTGTTACATTTACCAATGGCTGTATGGGTTCTGCCTGCAGTTGTGTTACATTTACCAAATGCTGTATGGGTTCTCTATTCAGTTGTGTTACATTTACCAATGGCTGTATGGGTTTTCTATTCAGTTGTGTTACATTTACCAAATGCTGTATGGGTTCTCTATTCAGTTGTGTTACATTTACCAATGGCTGTATGGGTTCTCTATTCAGTTGTGTTACATTTACCAATGGCTACAAGGGTTCTGCCTGCACTTGTGTTACATTTACCAATGGCTGTATGGGTTCTGCCTGCAGTTGTGTTACATTTACCAAATGCTGTATGGGTTATCTATTCAGTTGTGTTACATTTACCAATGGCTGTATTGGTTCTCTATTCAGTTGTGTTACATTTACCAATGGCTGTATGGGTTCTCTATTCAGTTGTGTTACATTTACCAATAGCTGTATGGGTTCTCTATTCAGTTGTGTTACATTTACCAATGGCCGTATGGGTTCTCTATTCAGTTGTGTTACATTTACCAATGGCTGTATGGGTTCTCTATTCAGTTGTGTTACATTTACCAATGGCTGTATGGGTTCTGCCTGCAGTTGTGTTACATTTACCAATGACTGTATGGGTTCTCTATTCAGTTGTGTTACATTTACCAATGGCTACAAGGGTTCTGCCTGCACTTGTGTTACATTTACCAATGGCTACAAGGGTTCTGCCTGCACCTGTGTTACATTTACCAATGGCTGTATGGGTTCTCTATTCAGTTGTGTTACATTTACCAATGGCTGTATGGGTTCTGCCTGCAGTTGTGTTACATTTACCAATAGCTGTATGGGTTCTGCCTGCAGTTGTGTTACATTTACCAATAGCTGTATGGGTTCTCCCCGCACTTGTGTTACATTTACCAATGGCTGTATGGGTTCTGCCTGCAGTTGTGTTACATTTACCAATGACTGTATGGGTTCTCCCTGCACTTGTGTTACATTTACCAATGGCTGTATGGGTTCTCTATTCAGTTGTGGTACATTTACCAAATGCTGTATGGGTTCTCTATTCAGTTGTGTTACATTTACCAATGCCTACAAGGGTTCTGCCTGCACTTGTGTTACATTTACCAATGGCTACAAGGGTTCTGCCTGCACTTGTGTTACATTTACCAATGGCTGTATGGGTTTTCTATTCAGTTGTGTCACGTATACCAATGGCTGTATGGGCTCTTTTGTAAGGTTCACAGATGGCTGCATAGGCATTGCCTGATTGGAACTGAGCTCATGTGAACTATGTCTGTCATTGAGATGACAAAACTGGATTGGTTGTCAGACTTGATGATTTTCTTGCCATTGTACTCACATGTCTAGGACATTATTGCTGATTATATTCTGGATGCTGTAATATGGCTGAAGTATTGTGAAATAAGATGCCAAACAAGCAAACCATTCCTCATTACATTCTTCAAGCACAGTAGTGAGTGAATTTAGTTAAGTGCTTGCTGCTTGGAAAAGCCTCACTCACTCACTGTTACATCAGAAGGACATCAGCCACTGGTCTGACTGGTCTGGACTGGATAGTCTACAGGATGTTGCCCTACAGCTGGAATACTGCTGTGTGTGGCATTACGACAGCATACAAATGCTTCATGCTGTGTGAAAGTTTTGTTTGATTACATACTTACAATTGTACTAATTTATCGATAAATATTTACATATCCTTTATTCTATGTATTCTGTTTCAGAAAAAGCTAAAATAGCAGCAAAAGCAGGCGTAAAAAAGGTATGTAAAAGACCTTCCATGATACGACTTATAGTTCTCTCCTAGCTCGACTTGGCTGATTGGGTGCTTATATGAAGCAAATTTATTCAGACACTTTTTACTTAAAGAGTACCATGTTTTGTCAGGCAGTATGTTGTAGAGAATGTGAATATGTATCATACCCTTTCTTTTATTTGTTTTCTTGTTTTACATTGGAAAGTTTGAGTGGGTATCCATGTTTTGGTTTATGCATCACAAAGTCCCTATTCTGGGTGTCTCCATCTTTGTTAGGGCTATGGGTTTGATAAGACATTCATTGTGGTCCTGCTGACCATATAACAGGACCCGTGAAGATCCGGGTTAGAATTGGGTCTTCAGCAACCCATGCTTGTCGTAAGAGGCGAGTAACGTGTTCGGGTGGTCAGGCTCACTGAGTTCATTGACACATGTCATCATATACCAATTGCGTAGATCGATGCTCATGCTGTTGATCACTGGATTGTCTGGTCCAGACAGGATTATTTACAGACTGCCGCCAAGTAGCTTGAATATTGCTGAGTGCAGCGTTTAACGACAAACCAACCAACCATATAACGGTGGTGTCCGTGTATGTTACAGTAACGTGATTAGGGGAAAGTTTGGGAATCTCTGTGAGGTCCAGTGACAGTGTTTCTTGCCTCACACATAAATGTCGTTTTCTGATTGGCTGAGCACTCTTCTATTATTTTCAATATACCCCACTTACAAGCAAGTAACATTTTCTATGTACCCTGCTGGGAATGCCGAACTCATTTGGTACTTCATAGTAGTAATTCTTTATCTCGAATAACATTGAATCAAGTATGATGTACGGAAATTACCGATGTTTTGCGAATGCAAATCGATGGAAGGGAGATAACTCTAAATTTGTTTTTTCTTGTCGTCTGGTACTCCATACTATGATCCGATACCCGTGCTTCAAACAGTTCAAAATTACTATTGAGGTATTCGGTAAGATAAATACGTTGTTCACTGGTTTTTCAGGGCCCATGGGTTGATGTACCCTCGATGTTTCTTTATGTTTCCCTCGCTCTTCGGGCTTAGGGAACATAAACAAAAATCAAGGGTACATCAGCCCATGTCCCCCTCGAGACCAGTGAACAACTTATAATGTATATATATGTTACAGAAACCTGAAGGGAAGGTGGTGGAGACCTCCAAACCTGTTGGGAAACCTAGCACCTCCACACCTAACAAGGAATTGGTTGACAAGAAGAAGGGACACAAGAAACCATCGGTACACAAATGCTTATCTCTAAAACAGCTGAATGATGTATCTAAATGTTGGAAATATTCTCCATAATCATTTTCCTTTGGTTTCAGTGCATTGATATGTGTTTGATATATATATGTATATTTTGTCAAATCGGAGGTTTTCGGATGTCACATGTTTGAGACGGCATTGTTTGCTTGTGCTGTGTCATCATAGACGTTGTAAATTCTTGAATGGAGTTTAAGATGAAGTTGACTCGAGTAAGTCAGTAACATGTTTTACAATTGTGATAATCAAGAAAACTATAGGTTTTCTTAAGCATCAGAAAACCAATAACATGCATATACATGTGCAGATCACAGTGTGTATATATGTATACTTTGATCTGCAGGGTTCTGTAAAGTTTGTGAAGTGTGTGCGGATGGACTGTCGGCGCGAGGCTCGGCCAGGCTCTGTGTACTGTAGTGACGAATGTATCCAGCACCATGCACGCGAGTCACTCCGGCTGCTGAGGAAGGAGAGGGATAGAAATGCAGGCAGGGTGAGTACATGCCTCGGATGGGGAAACTGGTTACCATGGAGACTAGCTGGCTCTTCGTGATATCCATTATAATTAGTGGTGTCCCTGCTGTCTTCCAGTAAATAATGTTTTCTTTATTTAAACCCAAGGGAAATCTGAGATATGTTTTACAAATGTTTCAAGATTAGTGGTTTTAATAAGAGTTTATGGGATTCCTATGCTGTATACTGTATTGCCAATGCTGTAAACATTTGAGTTTGGTTTGGTTGTTGTTTGACGCCGCTCTCAGCAATTTTCCAGCAAAAAAATGACGGTGTTCTGTAGTTAATTGAGTCTGGACCAGACAATCCAGTGATCAACAGCATGAGCATCGACCTATGCATTTTGGATACATTGACATGTAAACCTTTGAGAATAACTTTAGGCCCATTATTGCAACGATGAGATTTGGACATGGAACATCTAAAAAAAAAAAAATTGTGTCCATGACTCCACCAGGACAAAAGATAATGTGGAAATATAAACAGTGTTAATCTTGATAGGGTTTGAATCCCATCTACCATCATGCAGATACAAAGGCAAAATATTATGTTAATTAAATTGTCCATGGATATAATATTTAAACTTATCATATCTCACGGTATGCACCTCTCTTCTTCTACGACCATGCGTTGAAACGTGCTGTAGGCTAAGTTGAATCAAAACTTCCTGGCCTCTGACCACCTGACCTCTGCCCCCTCTTCGATAGCAGACCTGTCAATCATCTCAATAAGCGTGCCGATCGTTCAGATGATCACGTGACGTTCTGTGCCTGTCATTCTCTTTCTTGTCGCTACTACCGTGTGGACGTGTGTTGTTCTCTCAGTTAGACATTATTTGATTGTCAATATGGGAAATAAATCGAAACGAAGTTTTTTTTTAAGTAACACAAACTTTGTGGTCAGTGCAACAGCAACCTTTCCGCTGCTGATCCACGCTTTGTTTGTGGATTGTATAGGCTGTTGTAGTTGGTCACATCGGTGTTCTGTTTGTTCACACTTGAATGATGATGTTTTTTCTGAATATCGACGGGTTGCATCTAGATGTAGATCGGACAGAGATCGGCGTACAACTGCTGTAGGTCCTTCAACTTCTAAGTGTGCTAAATAGGAACACCGTTCGATGAGAGCAGTTCGTCGGTCTAATCACCGTCCCCGGAGGAAGTTTTTTTTTAGAGGTGGCCTCAGACTCCTACTTGAGCGAGTATCTCCGTCGTCTCTCGTCCTCCACGTCTAGTCCCGTCTCCAGACAAGTTTTATCTGCTCCGAGAGTGCTAGTGCTAACACAGTCTCGGCCTTTGTTTCCAGTGCGCCTCTTTGGTTGAGTGTTCCACCCCCCTCTGCAATCCTGGGTGTGCTTGGTCAAAGCGTTCACTCTCATGTGGCGAGTGCAGTCAGTTCGGCGCTTTCAACCACAGGGATCAGTTCGGCGCTTTAACCTATGCACCGCTTGCTTCCAATGCGGCGCTTTGTTCCAGTTCGGTGCTCTCATATCTTTCTGTGGTGACATCAGGCATGACGGTAGTATCCAGTGCGGCGCTTTCAACACCTTTCCCGTATCTTGCACCACCTGTCTCTGAACCACCGACGAGTTCCAGTACTCCACTTACCACCAGAGCGGCACTTGCTGTCCAGTCATCACTTTGTACCAATGCGTCGCTCTCACAAGGGAAGAAGAGACCAGTTCATCGTTTGACTTCAGTTCACCGCTCTCGTTCGGTCCAACTCATTAGCCCTGTGCGGCGCATTCGATTAGATCAACACTTCAGCCCAGTGTGCCTTTTCGATTGGATCAACGCTTCAGACCAGTGTGCCTTTTTCGATCAGATCAACGCTTCAGACCAGTGTTCCGTATTCGATTGGATCAACGATTCAAATTAGTGAACTGTTGTTTGATTGGAACACCTTTCAGTCCGTACACCTTTACTGTATGGTACGAAGTTTTAGACGAATGCACCGGTCCTGATTGACTCGGCGCTTTAGAACCAGATCACTTGACTGAACCGGATCACAGTACTGAATCAGATCACCTAATCAATCCTGATCGCCTGAGCGTCGTACAATATTCCTTAATATCAAGCTGGTCTACTTATGCACAGTTTCTGCGTGTGGTACCAGCAGTGATCTTTGATCAAGTAGCTAGCGTCACTTTACCCAGGTTCTATGGGTTGGGACTTGCCTGGTTGATTGACATCCGTGTTGTCCGGGTTTTTATCGTTATTGCATTGTCGGTAGCATTTGCAATGGCGGACTACTGTTTGTTTACTGGAGACTTTTGATGATACAGTGATTATGAAGTACCCTGACAGACTTGTCTTGGTCCCACGAAGCGGATACCTATCCCAGCCTTTAATTGCCAGTGATGATGAACGGTGCCATTCCCGGTAGGAGTGATTATGTCGAGTTTCGTCAGTCATCCGAGAGAAGCATTTTACCGAGGGTGTCAGACAGAATCGCCCGAGAACACTTTCACTTGGCTAGGGTTACTCGGTTCAGAGGTCACTGCAGCTATGTCTGGACTGTCCGCAAGCATCGATTTTACTACCTTCCTTTCCCTTACGAATGTTCCTGGGGTCACTAGTCTTTTTACCTCCGCCATGCCATCAACTTTACGACTGTTCCGGTAGATTGACGATCCCTTGCCTCGCATCTACTAACTTTTCACTCCATCTGGCGGACCAACACTTCATTTGGCGAACCATACGTTCCAGCGATCACTGATTATACAGCCTGCATCACTATGTGTACAAAGTGAACGTTCCTGTAGATTGACTGACAATCTCCATGCCACGAACCTACTACATTCAGCACTTCTTCAGAACTGTCATACTGGCTTGACTAATCGAAAGTATCCTATCTCAGGAGAGATTTCTTCTTCAGTGGCAGTAGTTGCTAGGCCTTTTGATATCAGCTCAAGCCTCAACGTACAGAGGCCATCTCCTACTTCGGCCGATATAGCAATTTCTATGCCCGTATCTCGAGGCCGTCAATTGAACCCTAAGGAATTGAGTCGCTTTCCAGAACCGCTTCGTCCAGTCCTTCAGTGGTGGCTCGACCAACTGAATATCTGCGCTGGAGTTTCTATGGTACCCATAGCGCTATTGCAACCCAAGATTCTTCATCAGGTACAAGACCTTTTCCTGTTGACGGCAGCTCAAGTTGTGACTCAGAGGGGATAGCTTCAACTACGGCCTCTCCAATATTTTCTGTGTCTGCACATCAGGGTCGGCGACCCTCACGCATTGATCTTTCTTTCTCCAGTGTTCCATCCCCATCTCCAGTGGTGTTTGGACGTGTTGAATGTTTGCGGCGAAGTCTTTTTAAGACCGTTTGCTCCAGTACATCACCTGTACGTAGAGGCTTCTCTACACGGGTGGGGAGCTCACTTTCTCGATCAGCAGGTGGCAGGGCGGTGGTCTCCCACAGACAGCGCATGTCACATCAGCGTTTTGGAGCTCAGGGCAATGGTTCTTGCGATCACTCATTGGCAACAACTGTTACAATCAACCAAGCTTTTGATTTGATCGGACTATGCTGCAGTCGTGTGGCACATCAATCGCATGGGATCCACGGGGTATCCTCAGCTTCTTCAGTGGACATAACAATTTTTCCACTTAGTGGACTCTCTCAACATACCGGTCCAGGCCAATCACATCCCATGGATGACTTGAACGGGTATGCGTTTCCACCAGTGGCACTACTTCCACTCATACTGCTCAAGTTACGCATGACGCAGCGGATGACACTGATTTTGGGTCGCACCTTTTTGGCCCTTCTACCAGGCCACTCTGTGATGACTATGGAAGAATTTTGAAGCGTACTCCAAAACTATGGGTATTATATCTCCCACTACGGCATCGCCTCAGATAGTCGCGGAGTACCTCCAGCATCCTAGAACTTCCAAGGAATTGAAGGGTTCTACCTTGTCATCATACCTGGCCATGCGTAATACAGTTATTGCGCCGGCTACGGGTGCAAAGGTGTCAACTGTCCCTGAGCTCCAGTCTCTCCTCAGATCTTACAAAGTTGCTGATCAATCCCGGAAGTTCCGGCCACCAGCCTGGGACCTTTCCGTGGTTGTTTAATCATCTCACGTCAGAGGAGTATGAACCTCAAGCATGTCACGTTTAAGACTTTCTTCCTCCTGGCTCTTGCGACTGCTGCCTGCATCTCTGAGCTTCACGCACTGGATGTCATCCGGTTGCGCTTCGAGAGGACCAGACATGTCAAAGCCCTCCTGGTTTGAGGTGAGATCTCGTCGCTGAAACCAGTTGCCTGGACAGACGGACAGACTATTCACTTTCCCGCCAGGGTCTCCGGACTTTACGGGTCTTTTAGCTGCCTCCAAGGGCCGTCGTAGGTTACGCAAGAGACTGTTAATGCCTCTGTAACCTGCCTCATCTACAGAGGTCTCTCGTACCACGCTGGCTTTCTGGATGCGATCTACCATCCTTCATGCCTACGCCTACGCTGACCTTCCTCTTCCTACTACGGTCAACCCTCATGAGACAAGAGCCTTGGCCTCTACGATGGCGCTACACAGAACTGTTCCCTTCATGGCATCATGGAGGGTTGTTTTTGGAGATTGGTCACAGTCTTCGCCTCACCCTACCTCCGGCAGCTGTCTGTCTCTGACATGGAAGGTCTTCACCAACTGGGTCCATTGGTTCTGGCGCAGCAAACGCAGATAAGATGCAGTTCCTGCCTTCGTGTAGGTTTTGCATTATCTGTATCATAAAAGATGTCGGTCCTATCTTTTTATTGGTATGGATTATGTTTGGGCATAGATCACCTCACCTAGGGAACTAGAGCTGTCTGCACTGTCATAGATATGACTCGATAGACTGAGAGGCCAGTCTTATGCTACATGCAGAGGTGGTCGGTGCTCCGCTTACTGACCTCTACTCTTACTGAGCAATTACGTCAGTGAAGTGTTGATTCCCGATTACCTATGTGGTTTTCGAAGCGTTCCACTCGTAAGTCCTTTCTCACCTTTGGTAAGTTAGGGGGATTGGTACTGAATGTTAAACAAGTTGAGCAACCGGGCTATTCCCTCTTTCACCGCCTTCCAGTGTGTGTCTGTGGGGGGTAGTTTCGAAGCAGGGACTGTCCAGATTAAGGTCTTCGACTTTAATTCACTGGGGTCACTTGATAAATCGCGGGGAGGCTGGGTCCACTTGCCAAACTGCGTCCTTTTGCTTGTCAAAAGTTGCGGCTGAAAACCACATTAATTCGGGACCGCCTATTCCCTAGAGTCTTTGTGCTGTGTAAGCTAAGGGGTTATCAGAAGCAACCCATCACAAGTTCGGAGTAAGCATATCGGGAGTTGGTGCTTTCTCCTGGCCTCCTTGTGTTATGCGACCTCACGGTTGTAGAGTTGACACAGGGTAATCTGCGGGCCCACCATCCAACCGTGGGATAATGCATAACGTGAGATAGAATAAGTTTAAAAATTTGAAAATTTTACTATATATTGTATATTTAAATACTTATCCTATCTCACGCGATGGATACCCACCCGACCTGCCCGACATCACACATTACTGGACGCTCCAAGACGAGATTGACAAGCACAGAACGTCACGTGATCATCTGAGCAATCGGCACGCTTATTGAGATGATTGACAGGTCTGCTATTGGAGTGGGGTCAGAGGTCAGTAAGATTTGATTCAACTTAGCCTACAGCACGTTTCCACACATGATCATAGAAAAAGAAGAGAGGTGCATACCGTGAGATAGGATAAGTATATAAAATATACAATTTATAGTAAAATTTTCAATCTCGTGTTTAACTCCTAGTGACAACTCGTAGGGCAAAAACAAGTACAGGCCAGTCATGTAGATTGAACCTTCAGAGAACATGCATATGAGAGATTGTCAGCTTGCAGGGTGATGTTTGTACATTGTTTGTTCTACATGTTTGTATGTGTTGATATGTGTTTGCACATGTTTGTAGCCTGACTATGTGAAGTCTCCAGTTCGGCCTGGGCAGGAAAAGGTTGTGGTGTTGGAGCGACGTACAGGTCGCCTTCTCATGGGGAACAACGCGCCGACAGAACACAACCTGGAGATGTGGCTATCGGACCATCAAACATTTGAGGTTCTCCGTCCGGGAGTGATGGCCAGCAAGTTCTACGGAGCTCGTAAGTCAACATCATCGCAAAGTTGTCTACTGGTTGATACTGAATAATGTGCTCATTTCAGATCACTGAAACATGTATTTAGTTATAAGACTTTAATACCTTAAATATTATTTATAAAATACATAAATGAGAGAGATAGATAGCAGCCATCTTGTTGGAAGCTTGAAGCCCTTAAAGTTGTTGCGGACTGTTTGTTACCCATATAATGTTGCATTCACATTTTCAGTTTAATAGCCAGATATAGGGGTGTGACAATATGAACTATTGCTGCAGTAAGTTTGTCTGAGAAGTTTAAAGATAACCTTGTAATATTGTTAGAATTTTCAACAGACTCGAACACAGTATCTTCTGTAACCTTTTGTTACAAAAGCGAACTTAATGAAGCATTCATGAAGATCCGGGTTAGAATTGGTCTTCAGTAACCCATGCTTGAGGTCATACTCGCTGACTTGGTTGACATATGTCATCATGTCCCAATTGCATAGATTGATGCTCATGATGTTGATCACTGGATTGTCTGGTCCAGACTCAACTATTTAGAGGCTGCTGCCATATGGCTTGAATATTACCAAGTGCAGCATAAAACGGTAAACAAACAAACTTAAATGAAGATGGAATTGTAATGGTTTGTATTTTAACTGATTCAACACATATACCAAGCCTGCACATTAATCCATTGTTGTTTCCAGTCCAGAATAATGATGCTATATTCAGGACTTTTTTCTAGCATGATGATAACTGTGTCATTCGCTCTAAATGTTGAGATTTTGTGGTTATTATAGGGTAGTCCAGTTGTTAGTGTTCGTATTTGAGGGCCAGAGAACAAGTTTGATGCCAAAGGTACTTGCTACACTCCCAATGTAAGTGATGTTAGAGACATTTGTATGATAGATTACCCCTTGTATATTCACAGAGATTGAGAGAGAGCGGATGAAGAACCGTGAGCGAGAACAGCGGGAGAGACAGAGGCGGGAAAGAGAAATGGAACAGATGGAGAGAGAAAGAAGAGAGAGGGAGAAAAACAGCGAAGGAAGAGAGAAAAGGAGAGAGAACAGCAAAAGAGGGAAGAAGCTTTGAGGAAAGTTCGCAGTGATGGCCCTGATCCAGTTCGCATCAATGTGAGGAAGGCACTCCGAGATGCTCTGCAGGGCAGGTAAACACAATTTTGTATGTAGTAGTTAGAGTCGGATCACTCGTAGCCATTTTGTCCATGTATATGCTGATGCTTTGATTTTGCCTGATTTGTCACTACTGCCACACATTTATTCGTGACTAACATTTGAGTCTATTCTTAAGGTATGTTTAAATTGTTTGTGCAGATGGTTTTCTTGTCATGTAGATAGCGTATCATTTGACATGTCAAGGGTCAAGGTCATCCTCAAGGTCATTGCCTAAGGACAAGTTTGTTCACTGTATAACTCAAGATGGAATTATTGTTTGGTGAGGTCAAATGAGTCATACTTGTTTCTTGTGGGAACATTTTGCATCATGCAGGAGAATGTTTCGATCTGATTGCATCTTTCTTCTTTGTAATGCAAACATGTTTCTAGTTTATTATAGTGCTGTATATTATTCATAGCATAATATCATGACATTTAAACAATTATATCATTATGTTAGCATTGTTAAATAATTCACTTTGTTAGGGAGTTAAGGGCCGAGAAGGCAGCAACCTATGGTTGTCGTAAGCGGTGACCAGAATGAGGTTCAGACGGTTATACTCAATGATCTGGCTTATTGTGTGTCAAGGTATAATATGCTATCAACCACTGTATGTCCTGTACTTGATTATCATTAGAATATTGTTCATCGCTATGTATAATGTTATGCTGTCACTTATTTATCCTTATCAAATGTCTTCCACGGTATTACCTCTTGGGTATTGTGATTCAAAATTATCTTGGTTTTGAGATTAAAATATATGTGATTTCTTAACATTTTAGCCAAGGTATTTCTTGCATCACTGTGGTTAAGATCAGTGATGCTATGGATAATTGACCTTTTTTGACCAACAAATCTGTTGTTTAGAGCCGAGGATGCGGATGACATCATGCTATCCAACAGTGAAATCAAACAGCTGGCTGTTGCTGTGGAGGAAGAACTGTTCAAGTGTTACCAGGACACCTCTGGCCACAAGTACCGCAATAAGTACCGCACTCTCATCTTCAACATCCGCGACCCCAAGAACAAGGTAAGCAGATACTTTAGCCATATTTCAGGTCTCTCCGGACCAAAATGTAATGATTTGGGAATGTTTTGTTCATTTTCATTATCATTTTTATAGCTAACCCGTTATCAACCTCTTCTATTGTATAAACAACTCAATTTCGCCTCATCCCTCATCTATTGTTCAAACATATCGCATGTATGACCCAATATTACCTCTCATGTACCACTTGCTTGACAGCAACATAAGAATCTATGTCGAAATGTCGCCTATACAGAATAAAAAATGTTGTATATCCATAAAAATAGTCCTCATTCTTCAGCTAACCCTTTAGTTTGGGAATAGAGTCTTTTAAGTGGTATTTATAGTGAAGTAAATGTTTTATGTTTGTTTACAGGGATTGTTCCGTAAGATCCTCACTGGTCAGATCAAGCCCAACCGTCTGGTACATATGTCCACGGAGGAACTGGCATCGAAGGAGCTGTCTCTGTGGAGAGAGAATGAGACCAAACATGTAGGTATACACATACAGGGTCCGTTACAGATAGATGGAAGTATTCTGGACTTTTGTGAGTTATGGTGTCTAACTTGTGGTACTTTTTGCTGCAGACGTTGGAGATGATCAAAACTGCTGAGAAGGAGGCGCAGAAGGAGCCAGTTCACATCCGCAAGAAGACCCACAAGGGAGAGGTGGAGTTGGACGAGGATCTGAGCACACTGGTGGTAAGGGGGGGACACAGGATATGGAGTCGGGTGAGGGGGAGCTGGATGAGGATCTGAGCACACTGGTGATAAGGGGGGACACAGGATGTGGGGTGAGGGGAGCTCGACGAGGATCTGAGTACACTGGTGGGATTGGGGGGGGGGACACATGATGTGGGGTGAGGGGGAGCTGGACGTGGATCTGAGCACACTGGTGATATGGGGGGGACAAAGATATTGGGCGAGGGGGAGCTGGGCGAGGATCTGGGCACACTGGTGGTAAGGGGGGACACAGGATGTGGGGTGGGGTGAGGTGGAGTTAGACGAGGATCTGAGCACACTGGTGATAAGGGGGGGACACAGGATGTGGGGTGGGGCGAGGGGGAGCTGGACGAGAATCTGAGCACACTGGTGGTAAGGGGGGACATGAGATGTGGGGAAGGGCAGCGTGGGGTGAGTTGGGATTGCTCTACCTTGAGCAATGTTGTAACTGTGACTGAGTCTCTCTTTCAATTGATGCTTATTTATTTTGACCAGTCAAATGAGGTGAAGCCTGAGAAGAGTGAGAGTGATGCAAAGAAGGAGACTGAAGACAAGGATCTGACGACTCAAGAAAACCCTGCCATTGACACCACTGACCAGCACCGCAACCACCTGTTTGATCTCAACTGTAAGGTGTGCACTGGCAAGGTGCCGCCTCCTGCAGGCGACTCAGCCGTCAAGAAGCTGAAGGTTGCCCACAAGGTCATGGGAGAGGGTGGCAAGAAGGTGGAGAAGCCAACCAATAAGCAGGAAGACCTCTCTAATGCTGAGGAGGTTGTAAAGGAGGTGCTAAGAGCCATCCGTCAGAGTAAGACTGACTCCCCAGCCCCCTCCACATACTCCGGCGCCAAGGATGTGACTGTCAGGTGGGTAGACCCAGAGGATGCGATTGGATCCCGAGGGTGTGATTAGATCCTGAGGGTGTGATTAGCCCATGAGCATGCAATAGATGACTGTTGTATGCTCACTTCATCTGTCAACTGTTTCACCACACTTGGCAGTCTGTTGATTCTGGTTGAGAAGTTATTCCCAGGAAACTATGTTCATTGTACAAAGTGACCCTACTGTTGACCGATGTTGGCAGCCCATGTTGCTTCTTGTTTAGAAGTTATTCCCAGCAAACTGTGTTCTGTGAGATGTAAACATGAGACGAATGGTCCCTTTTAGTATTGCAATACCTGTGCATCACACATGTCACACAGTGAGCCAATCAGATCTGAGTATTGTTAGTGGGTCGTCCGTGCTGCATGTTTGCATCAGTCTCGTCTTGTCTTCAGTCCTGTGTAGTCATCATCAATAAATGTTTTGTATGCTCACCTCATCTGTCAACTGTTTCACCGCACTTGGAAGCCCATGTTGCTTCTTGTTTAGAAGGGGCGGTGGGGTAGTCTAGTGGTTAAAGCGTTGGCTCGTCACGCCGAAGACCCGGGTTCGAATCCCCACATGGGTACAATGTGTGAAGCCCATTTCTGGTGTCCCCCGCCGTGATGTTGCTGGAATATTGCTAAAAGCGGCGTAAAACCAAACTCAGTCAGTCAGTCAGTCTTGTTTAGAAGTTATTCCCAGGAAACTATGCTTGTTGTACAAAGTGATCATGCTGTTACCCCATGTTGGCAGCCCATGTTGCTTCTTGTTTATAAGTTATTCCCAGGAAACTATGCTTGTTGTACAAAGTGACCCTACTGTTACCCCATGTTGGCAGCCCATGTTGCTTCTTGTTTATAAGTTATTCCCAGGAAACTATGCTTGTTGTACAAAGTGATCATGCTGTTACCCCATGTTGGCAGCCCATGTTGATTCTTGTTTAGAAGTTATTCCCAGGAAACTATGCTTGTTGTACAAAGTGATCATGCTGTTACCCCATGTTGGCAGCCCATGTTGATTCTTGTTTAGAAGTTATTCCCAGGAAACTATGCTTGTTGTACAAAGTGATCATGCTGTTACCCCATGTTGGCAGCCCATGTTGCTTCTTGTTTAGAAGTTATTCCCAGGAAACTATGCTTGTTGTACAAAGTGATCATGCTGTTACCCCATGTTGGCAGCCCATGTTGATTCTTGTTTAGAAGTTATTCCCAGGAAACTATGCTTGTTGTACAAAGTGATCATGCTGTTACCCCATGTTGGCAGCCCATGTTGATTCTTGTTTAGAAGTTATTCCCAGGAAACTATGCTTGTTGTACAAAGTGACCCTACTGTTACCCCATGTTGGCAGCCCATGTTGATTCTTGTTTATAAGTTATTCCCAGGAAACTATGCTTGTTGTACAAAGTGATCATGCTGTTACCCCATGTTGGCAGCCCATGTTGCTTCTTGTTTAGAAGTTATTCCCAGGAAACTATGCTTGTTGTACAAAGTGATCATGCTGTTACCCCATGTTGGCAGCCCATGTTGCTTCTTGTTTAGAAGTTATTCCCAGGAAACTATGCTTGTTGTACAAAGTGATCATGCTGTTACCCCATGTTGGCAGCCCATGTTGATTCTTGTTTAGAAGTTATTCCCAGGAAACTATGCTTGTTGTACAAAGTGACCCTACTGTTACCCCATGTTGGCAGCCCATGTTGATTCTTGTTTAGAAGTTATTCCCAGGAAACTATGCTTGTTGTACAAAGTGATCATGCTGTTACCCCATGTTGGCAGCCCATGTTGATTCTTGTTTAGAAGTTATTCCCAGGAAACTATGCTTGTTGTACAAAGTGATCATGCTGTTACCCCATGTTGGCAGCCCATGTTGATTCTTGTTTAGAAGTTATTCCCAGGAAACTATGCTTGTTGTACAAAGTGACCCTACTGTTACCCCATGTTGGCAGCCCATGTTGCTACTTGTTTATAAATTATTCCCAGGAAACTATGCTTGTTGTACAAAGTGACCCTACTGTTACCCCATGTTGGCAGCCCATGTTGCTTCTTGTTTAGAAGTTATTCCCAGGAAGCTATGCTTGTTGTACAAAGTGATCATGCTGTTACCCCATGTTGGCAGCCCATGTTGATTCTTGTTTAGAAGTTATTCCCAGGAAACTATGCTTGTTGTACAAAGTGATCATGCTGTTACCCCATGTTGGCAGCCCATGTTGCTTCTTGTTTAGAAGTTATTCCCAGGAAACTATGCTTGTTGTACAAAGTGATCATGCTGTTACCCCATGTTGGCAGCCCATGTTGCTTCTTGTTTAGAAGTTATTCCCAGGAAACTATGCTTGTTGTACAAAGTGATCATGCTGTTACCCCATGTTGGCAGCCCATGTTGCTACTTGTTCATAAATTATTCCCAGGAAACTATGCTTGTTGTACAAAGTGACCCTACTGTTACCCCATGTTGGCAGCCCATGTTGCTTCTTGTTTAGAAGTTATTCCCAGGAAACTATGCTTGTTGTACAAAGTGATCATGCTGTTACCCCATGTTGGCAGCCCATGTTGATTCTTGTTTAGAAGTTATTCCCAGGAAACTATGCTTGTTGTACAAAGTGACCCTACTGTTACCCCATGTTGGCAGCCCATGTTGCTTCTTGTTTAGAAGTTATTCCCAGGAAACTATGCTTGTTGTACAAAGTGACCCTACTGTTACCCCATGTTGGCAGCCCATGTTGCTTCTTGTTTAGAAGTTATTCCCAGGAAACTATGCTTGTTGTACAAAGTGATCATGCTGTTACCCCATGTTGGCAGCCCATGTTGCTTCTTGTTTAGAAGTTATTCCCAGGAAACTATGCTTGTTGTACAAAGTGATCATGCTGTTACCCCATCTTGGAAGCCCATGTTGATTCTAGTTTAGAAGTTATTCCCAGGAAACTAAGCTTGTTGTACAAAGTGATCATGCTGTTACCCCATGTTGGCAGCCCATGTTGCTTCTTGTTTAGAAGTTATTCCCAGGAAACTATGCTTGTTGTACAAAGTGATCATGCTGTTACCCCATGTTGGCAGCCCATGTTGATTCTTGTTTAGAAGTTATTCCCAGGAAACTAAGCTTGTTGTACAAAGTGATCATGCTGTTACCCCATGTTGGCAGCCCATGTTGATTTTTGTTTGAGGCTACCCCATTTATATTTGTAAAGACGAACAATAATGTCAATATATGTATCTGCATCAACAGGTCCCCTGACTCTGCCCTGTCCTCGGGCCTTGAGTCCAAGGCCAAGTTCAAGCCTGCTGGACCCAGTCTGTGGAAGGGATTGATCTCCAATGAAGACTTTAACAAGTTCTCCACATCGGCCTACCGGGTGTCTGGCCCCACAGAGTCAGTGGTGAGGAAACACCTTCATTAAAATAATTTAGGATAAGATAATAGTTGTTACACATTGTGAGGTATGTAACCAGCTATTCTTATGAATAGGTATCCAGCTATGCTTGTGAAAATGTATCCAGGTATGTTTGTGAATACATATCCAACTGTGCTTGTGAATAGGTATCCAATTGTGCGTATGAATAGGTAACCAGTACTGGTTCAGCTAAAGAGATTGGATGGTCAGAATCTGTGACTTAGTTGTTGAATGTGCATGGCATTGTGGGAAAAATGCTCATGATATCTATCACCAGTTTTTGTGAATTCAAATCATTAGGATGTTGTCATAAAGTTGGGTGTTTTGTAGACTGGGATTAAATATGGAGTCCTGGGTAGGAAGATTGTTGTACGCTTTGTTACTGATTGTGTAACTGTTTGCATGTTTCCATCTGTTGCAGGAGTTCCCTGACCTGATACACATATGTGGGCGAATTGGACCTGACCAGATGTGGGACTACCTGGAGCGTGTCCAACAGAGTGGGTCAAGGGTGAGTACCAACTCTCCTTATAAGGGAAAGGCAGTGGGATGGGCATAGAGAGATTGTCATCTGTGTTACCTGGAACAGAGTGGGTCAAGGGTGAGTACCAACTCTCCTTATAAGGGAAAGGCAGTGGGATGGGCATAGAGAGAGTGTCATCTGTGTTACCTGGAACAGAGTGGGTCAAGGGTGAGTACCAACTCTCCTTATAAGGGAAAGGCAGTGGGATGGGCATAGAGAGAGTGTCATCTGTGTTACCTGGAACAGGGTGGGTCATGGGTGAGTACCAACTCTCCTTATAAGGGAAAGGCAGTGGGATGGGCATAGAGAGATTGTCATCTGTGTTACCTGGAACAGGGTGGGTCATGGGTGAGTACCAACTCTCCTTATAAGGGAAAGGCAGTGGGATGGGCATAGAGAGATTGTCATCTGTGTTACCTGGAACAGGGTGGGTCATGGGTGAGTACCAACTCTCCTTATAAGGGAAAGGCAGTGGGATGGGCATAGAGAGATTGTCATCTGTGTTACCTGGAACAGGGTGGGTCATGGGTGAGTACCAACTCTCCTTATAAGGGAAAGGCAGTGGGATGGGCATAGAGAGATTGTCATCTGTGTTACCTGGAACAGGGTGGGTCATGGGTGAGTACCAACTCTCCTTATAAGGGAAAGGCAGTGGGATGGGCATAGAGAGTGTCATCTGTGTTACCTGGAACAGGGTGGGTCATGGGTGAGTACCAACTCTCCTTATAAGGGAAAGGCAGTGGGATGGGCATAGAGAGAGTGTCATCTGTGTTACCTGGAACAGGGTGGGTCATGGTCGAGTACCAAGTCTCCTTATAAGGGAAAGGCAGTGGGATGGGCATAGAGAGATTGTCATCTGTGTTACCTGGAACAGGGTGGGTCATGGGTGAGTACCAACTCTCCTTATAAGGGAAAGGCAGTGGGATGGGCATAGAGAGAGTGTCATCTGTGTTACCTGGGTAATGTGGGTTCAGGGTTAGTTTCAGCTGTGTAACTGGGGTTGGGTGACTGTCAGGTAGGTGTTTGGATAAGTGTCTACTGTGTAACCTGGGCAACTTGACAAGTGCAGGCCAAATCCGGGGCCACTGTCAGCTGTTTGTTGCCAGCTGCTGCAGTGAAAAGTGTAAGAAAGGTAATAATCCTTGTACTTAGGCGAGCTTACAGTTCCTAAAGCTACCTTTTACCACAGGTTGCAGTATGCATGAAACTAATTGCTGTCTCTCTATGAAACCAGGACATCTGTGTGGTGAGGTTTGTGCCAGGCAGTGACACTGAGAAGATGGCCTACATCCACCTCTACTCCTATCTCAATGGACTGAGTCGATGTGGTGTGGTCTCAAACACAGCCAAGCAGGTGAAGGATTTCTACCTGGTCCCCCTGGCCTCCCACAGCCGTATCCCACGAATACTCCTGCCCTTTGATGGGCCAGGTACGTACTGCATATACAGCAAATATAGGTCCTTGGGCCTTGGTATGGTTCAGGATAGGTCCTTGATAGACTCTTGGCCCACTGTGTCTGTGGCCAAAGATGGAGGTAGGTGGTTTGACCTGTGAAGATCTGGGTTGGAATTGGTCTTCAGCATTTCATGGTTCCCTGATTACAAAGATTAATGCTCATGATGTCAATCACAGGATTGTCTGGTCCAGACCCGATTGTTTGTCATAGCATTAAACATCAAAAACAAAGTCGTGGTTCTATAACTGAACATATCACAAAAAATGACATAAGGACTTACCCTGCTTGTAAATAGATAAGACATGGACTGATTTGCCATTGGTTTCAGCAAAGTGGAAAACATCATCATCCATTCATGACAAAGCTTATGACTCACATGTTAAAAGTCCTGCTAGTGAGAAATAATACATCCATTGACTTTTCTTGTTTTGCAGGTTTGGAAGAGAATCGACCCCACATGATTCTGGGAATCATTGTGGTGACAAAAACAAAACGCCCCATTGATGTCTCCACACACCTAGTTCCGTCAAAGAAGGCAAAAGTCACCTTGAACCCTAATGATCCACGGAGCAAAAACTACAGACCACAGGGCCTGAAGCCTCTAGAGAAAGCCTTCACACCACCTCTGAAACCTGTGCCCACCTACAAACCCATGCCCAAGAAGCTTATCGAGCTGTCCAGGTCTTCGTCATCATCTTCTTCATCCTCCCCCTCGGGTGACTTGAGTCAGACAACTGCAACGCTGCAAGACCCCATCGTGAAGGCCTATGCCTCCACCAAGTCTAGTCAGATGGAAGAGGAAGAAGACAGTAAGTAGAACAGTTTCTGTCTAGTTTCTGTCTAAATGTCGAGTCCTTGAGGAATGTCAAGTAGATTCAGATTACACATGTAGCTCTAGCAGGAATGGAGTAGCAGTCATGACTTCAGATTGTATTTTAGTGTTTAAGTGTTGTGTAAGTTCATTTATTTAAATATGGTTGGTTAATATGTAAATACAAACATAATGGTTTTGTATTGTTATCTTGAAGAAGGGGGCGGTGGGGTAGCCTAATGGTCAAAGCGTTGGCTCGTCACGCCGAAGACCCGGGTTCGAATCCCCACATGGGCACAATGTGTGAAGCCCATTTCTGGTGTCCCCCGCCGTGATGTTGCTGGAATATTGCTAAAATGCGGGCGTAAAACCAAACTCAGTCAGTCAGTATCTTGAAGAAAGTCTTGTTATATAGTATATACCATGGTTTATTTGCAGGCATGGCTCCATACTCACCAGGTGGAATGGACGATGATGGCGATGATGATGCTTATGATCCTGCTGATAACAGTCACATCATTAAGTTGACTTCGACAACAATTGTTACAACAACCGCCACCTCTGCTCCCATCTCCACCCAGTCTGGAAGTAACGTCCCCAAGGTGACCTCTGGACCACCAGCAGGGGTGTCTGCAACTATTCCTCTCCCGATCCCAGTGTCTCCTGTACCTGTCCCAGTGCCCCCAGTCACTGCGACCCCTCTGTTGCCAACACCACCTCCAGCAGCTGTTCCCGTGCCAGTTTGTGTGTCCGATTCCACTGCATCCCAAGTGTATTCCGTCCCCGCAGCTCAGCCTGCTTCATCCCAAGGGACAGCTAAATCTCTGTCTCAGACTGACACACTCAAAGGTATTAATGTAGACTCGATGATCTCTAAAGTTGCCAAAAGTAATAATCCTGCAGAGATCACTGCATTTATGGTAGCTGCCTTGGCTTCAGCAACAGATGCCACCAACCAGCAGAAGCTGCTTGTGGAGCTGACCCAAAAAGTTGAGGAGCAGAGGAAAGCACTTCAAGGCCAGCAAGCATCTAACTTGTCTGTGAAGGGCCTCGCTCAGGCAGTGGCAAGCACAGCAGCAGAAGCAGCAGCATCTACTGCATCAGTAGCAACCGTAACAACTGCAGCACCATCATTATTGCCTCCACCAACAGTGGTACCTCCAGTGTCTGTGTCTGAATCCAAGTCAGCAGTGTCTGTGGCTGAATCTGTGGCCAGCAGTTCTGGGTCTGAGGCTTTAACAGTAGACTCTCCGAAACCACCGGAAAAGAAATCTAAGGAGTCTGATAAAGATAAACATTCCTCATCCAGTAGTAGAAAATCTTCTAGTTCCGATAGTAGGAAAAGTGATAGAGACAGAAGGGATTCTGATAGTAGGCGAAGTGATCGGAGATCATCAAGTGTTGAAAGGTCACGGGATCGGAGAAGTGGAGATAGACATAGAAGGAGCCGGGACAGGAGTCGAGATCGGGATAGACACCGTCACAGAGGAAGGTCTTCAGATAGACATCACAGTCACAGAGATCGATCCCGGGAGCGACGAAGAGATCGATCAGACATCCGAAGGAGCCGAGATAAGAGTAGAGATAGGAGTCGGGACAAGAGTCAGGACAAGAGTCGGGACAGAAGTCCTGACAGAAGTCGGGACAGGAGTCGGGACAGGAGCAGAGAAAAGTCTGATAACAAGGTTTCCAAGGATAGTCAAGGTAGTTCTGAGAGTAGACGAAAGGCAGAGGTTCCCCAGACCTCAGACAAGACAAGTGATACAACACCTAAACCATCAAAGACAAACTCTAGTGAAACATCTGACACAGGTGCTAGTAGTCAGTTGCCAGAAACAGGCAAGGACACAAGTGATGAGGCAGCAAAGGCCAGTAGCAACACTGAGTCAAGTTCAGCTGTGGCTCAGGGGGAACCAACTCCCAACATTCCTGTTGCCCTTCAGGCCTTGATCAATGATGTGATGGGCAGAGTGCCTGCTGCTCCTAAGGTAGAGGATCCTCCTCCAGTGGTGTCAAAAACAACAGAAAAGCAAACCAGTGAGGAAAAGGAGGAAAAGAAGCCTGAGAAACAGGACAAAGAAACTCATGATAATAAGTCGGAGAACGTTATTCCAGGATTTGGTGCAGCTGATGAATCGGCAGAGACAAAACCCAAAAATATTTTCAGTGATATAATCGAGAAGCACAAAGATGATAAGCCTGTGTTGTCCTCGTCAGTGTCAGATGAGGTGGAGCAGCTGGAGCTGTCGAGAAGTGACCTGGACATGCGAGTTCAACCCATTCCTTCTGGAGGCGACACAGACATGAGAGTACAGGGTGATGTGGATTTACGGATTAAGCCCAGTATTTCTATCCTGTCTTCTATGGCAACATCCAAGCCTAGTGTGTTAGAGCGGCACAGAGACATTGATGAACGCATCCTGCCATCAGGTCCTCCTATGGATAAGGATGAGCGGATTGCACCTCCTCGACTCACTCCCCAGCAGCAGTGGGGTCCTGGAAACCAGGGCTCTGGAGTTGATGACCCTCCTTCACTGTTCCCTTCATCCCAAGGCTTCCAAGGCCCCCACTTCACAGGACCATCTCAACAGTTTCCAGGTCAACAACAAGGCTTCCCAGCTCCATCTGAGTTCCTAGGACCACCTAAACTAGACTTTGAGGGCCCCCCTAGGCCTGGTCTCCTTGCTGGTGAAGATGTTGATCATCGTATGATGGCATGGCCAGGAAAAGGACCACCACCACCAGGACCCATAGCAACATGGCCTGGTTCAGGAAGTGATGGGAACTTTGGTGGGGAGGATGTTGACCTGAGGCAGAAAGACAGTAGTGGTCCTGGACTGTTGCGGCCTCCTCCTATGCCCACGTCATCACTGCTGGAAAGCAAGAATCACCCTTCCTCTTCAAGCGAGCCTCCACAGGAGAAGAAGAGACCTCTGCATGGTGTCGGGGAGGAACCACAGGACAAACGACCTCGTCCTCATTCTCAAGGGTTGATGCATCAAAGTCAACCTGGAATGCCATTCCTGTCTCCTCCACCTTTCCCCCCACAATCTACCCCCCAGATGCCACCCCCTCAGGGACATGAACAGTCACGTGACTATGATGGGGGTTCCTCCTCTCGTTGGAGTGAGCATAGGGAAGACCGAGATCGTCATTGGCACCGAGATGACAGATCCAGTCGACACCATCGCTCGAGTGATCTCCATAGAGATAGAGATAGAGATAGGAGACATTATCACAGGGACAGCCGAAGATGAAGTGTGTCACAGTTATGTGTTGGATAGAGAAAATGTGTTCAAGGAGATTGCAGATTGTGGTTAGTTACAAAGAATGTTGTGGATTTCAAAGATGAAGAAATGTTCAGGTTTTATAGTGAATGAGACATTTGAAATACATAGAAATCCAGTATTGAGGGCAGTGTTAGGAGACACATGGATCAGATTTGTGAGGCAGTATTAGCTGACAATACAAGCAATCCGACAGTGTGGCAGACACACAGATCGGTGAAGCAGGATCTGTTATTGTTTTGAACAGAGCCCAATGGACAATAGCTAGTCACCATCACAAGTTGCATTTCTGAAACCCTTCCCAAATCACTAGTGAGGAATTGCTATGTACTAGATGATATTGTATAGATAATCAAGGGAAAGACTTTCCTCATTTCAACTGTTCATCAACAAGAAACGTGTACATAATCATATTCTTCATAGCAACATCTTTAAACATTATCAGAGTATCTTTGTGTTAACATACAAAGTAGTGTATATTTTCCAAGCCTTGTCTTAGCAATGATGCTAAAAATATTTTCCTGCACATTATCAGTCTAGGAACATTTCATGCAGTATCTATTATATATATATGTACATTTGTCACCTACAAGATGGGTAAACATAGATACAAACATCTGGCACAGTGCTCATGGAAGTGGTATCCCAAAGTTATGATCACATATGGAAGAGCATCACCTTCAGAGCTTTTGATTGAGCATTTGTGTAATTATGTAATTATGTCTTTTATAAGAATAATCATGATAATTACTAATTGTTTCATACCTGTGTATATGAAGTAGTTTTTTCTGTACATATTACGTCTCATCCAATTCATGGAAAGGACGCAATAGGTCACACAGTGTGATTATTTGTGGACTGTGAAAACTTGGGAATAATTTTCATTTAAGATGTTGAAACCTCTCCTTGAATGAACGCTCTGTTATTTGAGCGTGCTAAACAGTCTTGGTTTTCAAGGGCATTTATTTTTGATGAATGATGTTATGCAAACTTGTACATCTTATTTTGGTACTGAATTTGGGGAAATGTACAGTGGAATGATATTTAAGAGGATCTTTGCATAAACAGATAGGTGATTTTAGTATAGTTGCCTTGGGCAAAATCAAATCAAATAGATTTAGATAGTCTCTATTTGAGGTTTAAATCAAAAGGTAATTGCTTGCATTTATTGGTGTATTATCAACAAAGGTAGTTGAAAATTAATTCCAACGTATGAAAGGCATTGTTACGACTGTCATGAATTGATTCATTAGCTGTGAATTTTTATGATTTTAAACTGAGAAACTTATTTTAATTTGGTGATCTACACATGACAAAGTTTGGGAATCAAAACTGTATTTTTAAGTCTTAGCTCACCTCAAGTATTGGGTGAAAACAAGCACATTACATGGCATATTGTTGTCAATAATGTTTACCTTGAAATGGGATATTTCTGAATTGTTCTGGAAAGAAGACATAGTGTTGAAAATGTCTGTGTGTGATGTGTTATTTTGCCTGAGTGGTTTGGTGTTTTCATGTAGACACAATCACAGAAGTTTCAGTTCTGTACAATCATGATGACCCTGGAACTGTCAACAGCTGTTAACAATCATGATAATCACTGTCTGTGCAGCTGTGTACAACTGTGATCACAGAACTGTCTGCACAGCCCAGATGTGTACAATCTTCTGTGATCACGGAAGTACTGTCTGTGCATCTGTGTACAATCGTGATCATGTGATCACAGAACTGTCTGTCTGTGTACAATGCATCATCACAGAACAGCAGCTGTGTACAATCTTCTGTCTTGATCACAGAACTGTCTGTGCAGCTGTGTACAATCGTGATGAGAACTGTCTGTGCAGAACTGTCTGCAGAACTGTCAGCCCATCGTGCAGCTGAATGTGTCACAATCTGTCTTGATCACAGAATCGTGTACAATCGTGATCACAGAACTGTCTGTGCATGCAGCTGTGTACAATCGTGCACAGAACTGTCAATGCAGCTGTGATCACAGAACTGTCTGTGCATAGCTGTGCCCATCATCGTGTCACAGAACTGTCTTCAGCTGTGATCACAGTACTGTCTGTGCAGCTGTGTACAATCGTGATCACAGAACTGTCTGTGCAGCTGTGTACAAGCAGAACTGTGTACAAGTGTACGTGATCACAGAACTGTCTGTGCAGCTGTGTACAATCACAGAATGCAGCTGTGTACAATCAAGCGTGATCACAGAACTGTCTGTGCAACTGTGTACAATCATGCAATCATCATAACAGAGCTGTCTGTGCAGCTGTGTACAATCATCGTGATCACGGAACTGTCTGTGCAGCTGTGTACAATCGTGATCACAGAACTGTCTGTGCAGCTGTGTACAATCATCGTGATCACAGAACTGTCTGTGCAGCTGTGTACAATCATGATCACAGAACTGTCTGTGCAGCTGTGTACAATCATCGTGATCACAGAACTGTCTGCATAGCTGTGTACAATCGTGATCACAGAAAGTTCATAAAAGTAATAGACTAAGGAGAGAAAGACAATTATACTTTAACTTTACATGACAGAGACGTAACTTCAGGTGAGCAGCAGAGTAATTCTCTCCAATTTTGTCTCAGTTTAATTAAATTTAGAGTTGTTATGTTAGAGATTGTTGCCAAAGAGTTGCATGTTTTGTAATATATGACTCCATTTCTTTGTGGAAGAACAGGTTATTTTAATCTTTGTTGATCGTTACGTGTTTTATGTTCTGTTCACAAGACTGTACAAAGAAGGACAGTGTTGAATACTTAATTCCTGGTTTTACAAGAAGCCCTCATCTCATGTTTGCTGTAATAAATTCATTTACCATAAGTTCTTTCTTCTTCTCCGAGAGTGGAGCCTCATGTCAACTTGAATGTGATTGTTCTCCAGAAGGGGTGGTATAATGTGTTGCAAAATACTTCCTGAGTGTCCATGGTGTGATTGTTCTCCCACATTTATAATGTGTTGCAAAATACTTCCTGTGTCACGCCAAAGACCTGAGATTCCCCACATGGTTTTTGCATTCACAATGTCAGCTGGAGGTTTAATGTGGTAATATTCCACATGTTATAGCCTCATGTTACTGGAAACTTGAATACAAAGCCCACTATTAATTCCAATTCCAGATAGGGGTGGTGGGGTAGGCTAGTGGTTAAAGCGTTTGCTCGTCACGCCAAAGACCTGAGTTCGATTCCCCACATGGTTACAATGTGTGAAGCCCATTTCTTGTCCCATTGCTAAAACAGCTGGAAAGATTCCACATGTTATAGTTACTGATTCCCCAACATGGTTACTAATGTTGTGAGACCTGAGCCCACATGGTTACAATGTGTGAAGCCCATTTCTTGTCCCCTCCCCCCGTGATATTGCTAAAACAGCTGGAGGTTTAATGTGGTAATATTCCACATGTTATAGCCTCATGTTACTGGAAACTTGAATACAAAGCCCACTATTAATTCCAATTCCAGATAGGGGTGGTGGGGTAGGCTAGTGGTTCACGCCAAAGACCTGAGTCTCGATTCCCACATGGTTACAAGACCAATGTGTGATATTGCAATTGATATTGCTAAAACAGCTGGAGGTTTAATGTGGTAATATTCCACATGTTATAGCCTCATGTTACTGGAAACTTGAATACAAAGCCCACTATTAATTCCAATTCCAGATAGGGGTGGTGGGGTAGGCTAGTGGTTAAAGCGTTTGCTCGTCACGCCAAAGACCTGAGTTCGATTCCCCACATGGTTACAATGTGTGAAGCCCATTTCTTGTCCCCTCCCCCCGTGATATTGCTAAAAGCGGTGTATACATAAGGAAGAGTTTGAGCTATGAGAGAGTAATGTGTCTCAGGTCAATAAGTCTTCAAAGATGATTTTTTGTGTCATAGTGAACTCCCACCACATGTAAGTAATTGATAATTAGTAATTTGATCAACTTCCAAATGTTCTCTGTAAAGTAACAAGTCCTGTCCACTGATCCATTTAGTATCCTGGTACGTCAAGTAAAAGTAGCCATTAAGGTCTGTTAAATGCTACTATCCTCTTGACATGCTCCTGAATAACCGTGGAGTTGACCAAATGGGTACAATGTGTGAAGCCCATTTCTGGTGTCCCCCACCACAATATTGCTAAAAGTGTCTTAAAACCATACTCACTCACAGTGGAGTTGTGCAAGTTCTTGGGGATAAACTGAACCAGGAAAGATGACAAGGCTAGATTGTTATTAATGTTTATTGTGATACATTGTGCAGAATATGGCCAGAACCAGGCATCACATCACCTGCTGGCATAGGGTTCGTATACAATGATTCTGCATCATTCGTTACTACATACAGTTAAAATAGATACACGTCACTACTACAGTGCATTTCAGGTTTATCAATGAGGCTTTATATAACACTTCAATTTTATAAGATCCTATTCTGTTCATGGCCTTTGAGCAAAGCCTACTCTTTATTTATTGGTTAGACATGTTGAGTACATGTACATCAGGTTGTTGTGTGTGAGGAAAGATTCGCAAGTTCTAGTCAGGGTAACCATCAAATCAGCTGATTCAATCAGAGGGGGGTCGTGTATTTGGGTTTTATTAAAAGGAAGAAATGTTACATGGTACCATTGTTACCAACAGCATGAGTTGTAAAGCTATAAAATGTGAGTTTGAGGTGTAATGGTTGAACATACTGAGCATTGTAACCAAAGAAATAGGCCATTCAGTGTTTAAAGTGCTCATTATAATATATGGACATTTTTGCAAGAACAGGGTCCCCTTGTACAAAGTGATCTTAGGGCTAAGGTGACCGAAACTCCCATACCTTAACATAGACTTAAGGTAGTCTTAGTGCTGAGGGTGTTTTGTACAACGGGACCCAGGTCTGCAAAATTGTGAAGACTAGTTTCCTGTACAGACACCTCCACAAACTTAGGATTTCAAAATATGTCCACTGGAACTTGAATCAAGTACCGGTAATATGAAGAATACACAAGGCTAGGAATGTCCAATTAAGACTATTTGCCCAAGACAGAATAAATGATGAGAGTGAGATTAGTGTTACACCGCTTTTTGCAACATTCCAGTAATGTCAAAGCGGGGGACACCAGAAATGGGCTTTACATATTGTACCCATGTGGGGATTAGAACCATGGTCTTCGGTGTGACGAGCAAATGCTTTAACCACTAGGCTACCTCACCGCTCCGATGAGAGATGAGGGTTGCCTGGTATCACAAGAACCAACACTTCATTAATTCATTTGTTTGGATGTGGGCAAGTCTTCTGATTGTAATTAGTGGTAATGCAACGATTAGAATCTGAACACAATTACAAGTGTTTCCACCTAGGGTACAAAATGATATCTAGATGTCTAGCACCCCTGACATCTTCAGCCTACATAGAGACGAACACTTAGGTTCAACAGTTCTAACCAGCTTAGTATGCTTTGTAGACCCTGTCTCAACAGTTTCCAGATGAAGATTACAAAAAAAAGTTTGAATTTAACAATTTCATTCACACAGAAATGAAGTCAACTTAATAAGTAAGCAATCATGCCTTCATAATGAGCCCTTCCACTGAGCTGTTTAATGAAGAATATAACAAAATGGTTCATCAGTAGTCATGGTGATAGTAGCACTTACGTCCCCAGTTTATGGACCCAGGCAAAAATACATTAACTGTATGAATAAGGACAAAATGGAACGTGTGAAAAAAACCATATATGCCATGTGAATTGGTACAATCAAATAAATCATATGCATTGTTTGTGCTGTGTTTGCTAATGGCCACAGATACTGTTTTTTTCCATGTTATCCGTACAATATAAACAAAATGTTTTTTGATCAAATATACATGATCAATTTGTGACATATTTCTCAAGGTTAATGCCTGTTGAAAGGCTCTATCTGAAGGTGACATGTGGAGCCTTCAGAACAATACAAATACACAAACAATAATGAAACAACAAAAGTTTTAAAATACAACAAACAAACATACCACAAATGATCTCAACACTACTACTCTATACATCAGAAGGGCAGGTCATTACATGCCAATACACAATGACATATTTTACAAAGGCACATTTACATGAACCTGTCCCAATTACATCTTGCATTCATTACAAAAACACTCCTCCCTTCAACCAATCAAAGAAGATGCTCTTTCTTGAGCAAGGTGCAGCAAAAATACTGATCACTTTATTGAACATATCAATGTTGAATCTTATCCAGTTCAAATACCAGTTAATCTTTCAAACATGGTAACACTATGAATACACATGAGATTAAATAAGAAACAATGCTGTCTACTACATATATTTCACCTGTAATTCTTCAAGTGCAAATTCTGCAATGCTCTTTCATATATGTTGCCATCTATTTCTGAGATACCTCAGATATTTGTACTGTACCTGTCTTTAACATCTGTCATAAGTACCTCATCACACCATTCATTCAATACCAATAAAGCTATATGTAAGAATGCCTACAATATCTACACGAGGCCAGCACTTCAGCAGCGACAGAACCTGACATACATTATACAGCTGCTTGTATTAACACACATCTACGACACTATTGTCTGACACTCTAATGTTTGCTGTCCATAGAAACAAGCAATAGGATGGACAGGTAAATCTTCTAGATTTTCAGGTAAATGAACCAGTGAGTAGAATGCCTCTTTGAACAGTGTTCAAGTTACATCCCAGCATGTCAGCTTACTGTGGAGGTACTGCAGCAACTGAACATTTACATTAGCATACAATGATGCAATGCAGAAATTCAAACCTTTTCTGGTCATGTATTCTGGGGAGTTAGAGGATAGCAGTCAATGAGATGTCAAGAGACTGTTCCAAATCTTGTGGATGGCCCATAGCTGTCATGAATATTGCTCCCCGCTTTCTGTGTCACCTTTTCATGACTTTAGGTCATTCGCTCTCTGATACTAAATGACCATTCCCTGAAGAACATGTCAGGTATTTCTTACCTCTACTAACAAATCTAACAATCAACAAGACCATGCCCGTGCTTGTTATTACCGACTTTTGTTTTCATTTTATTCATGAAATGAACTGTTGGAAGAGGCATGTACCATGATACAGTAAGCGTATCATGATAATCCTGTCAACGAGATCCTAACTACACTATGTACACACTCTGCTGCAGTGATAGTGGAATGACGTATTTTTAACGATGGTCGAGCACCCTGGAATATTTCAAGCCATCACTAGGTGGTTGAGGACTACAAAACATCCTCACACACAAGGTGGAACATAATGGCCAAACCAAGCTTTCTTCTACATTAATGAAACCTACCAAAAATTTAGCATAAATCATAAATGATCAATATGCACATCTTAGACATGCTTACAAATGCACGCACACACACACGCACACAGGTAGGGTGATGGATTCATATAAATAATATATAATAATGTTTTGTAAAGGAAATTAGCCCAAAAAATCCTGTACATTTTTTCTTACATAGATATATCAACTACCTTGTATGAAGAGGAGTGAAAGTTGAATCACAAACAAAATACATTAAGCCTTCATTAACATTTAATATCATTTGCAGTGTCAAAGCACTATAAAGGTCCACTATACAGCCTCCAATACGTCCAAACAGAACTCTCCATACACGCACACATTCATACTATGAAAGTGAAAGAACTTTGGATTTGTTGTTAATCATTTGCTTGTATACATTAATGGAGGCTATCATAGCTTGGAGGGTTGTCATCTTGGTCTGACATGATGTTGCGACGCTCGATGTTGCGGTTGATGTTACTGTCAGCATCCCGCATAGCTTCAGTTCGACTATAGTACACTTTAGCCTTGTTAATTGGAGGCCCTGCAGAGAGATGATAGAATATGATAGTACACAGATTTTGGGATAAACGAAATGTTTTTAAGCTTTCCTGATGCTACACAGTGGTTTAGCACAGGGTAAACACAATTTCTTCAAACTTACCTGATGTTTCACAGTGCCTTAGCTCTCTAGCATCCGCTAGGTAGGGTAAAGTATGTTTATTTTGGAGTAAACGTAATGTGTTCAAACTTAATGTTTCACAGTACCTTAGCTGTCTAGCATCCAGTAGGGTAATGCAGAGCTCCAGATAAGATTTAGCTAATGTGGGTATTGTACCCACTGTAATTTTTTGGAGTGGGTTTTGTGAATGTTGAGTGGGTATTTCATTTTCTGTTACCCACTGCTTTCACATATGTGCGTATTTCAGTCATTTTACTCACCTAAGTATTATGTCATTGAGTAAGTTTACTAAGCAGGTATGTCCTGCCTTATATCATACCTAATCAAAACCAACTTAAATATAATGGAAATGATTTCATAAAAAATCACTCATCCTATACTGACAGTACAACACTAGTCCTATACTAACAGTACAACTTGATATCAATCGATGTCTTTTTTCATTACGCAAGCGATTTTTATAAATATATTCCGTACGCATTTGTTTTAAACTTTTTGTGTATCTAACATTTTAATTGCGTAATTGGTACGCTACAATTATTTTTCAATGCGTAATTGGAAATTTTCTATGCGTATTTTACCCGGATACACAGCTTATCTGGGCCTCTGGGGTAATGTATGATTATTCTGTGGTAAATGTGTTCAGACTTGACAAACTTACCGGTACGCAGTATCTTAAAGCACTCTAAAGAGTTAGGTAAGATCAAATATGCTCTGAGTATTCATGGAGAAAACTATCAAATATGTGAGTGAGTGACTTTAGTTTTACGCCGCACACAGCAATATTCCAGGTATATGGTGTCAGTCTGTAAATAATCGAGTCTGGACCAGGCAATCCAGTGATCAACAGCATGAGCATGGATCCATGCAATTGGGATACGTCAGGTCACGAATCAGTTGAAGTTAAGCAACGTCGAGCTCGGACAGCTCGGACAGTCCTTGGATTGGTGACCGTGTTTGGCAGCTTGACTCCTGAGAGTTTCTAGGACTTCAGTCTTGCCCCACAACGAAGCACATGTGATACATGTGGTCACACCTTAGGCAAGTGAGTTTGTTCAAAACTGCCTCTGTTCACCCAGCAGAAAATGGGTACCCGGTTGGATAAAGTCATGTGACTATAACCTTCTAGCGCCTAACAGGCAGCTTGGGTTATCCGGGGTAATAATCATCAGATTCTGATTAGCGCCGCGAGCAGTCACTTGGTGATTGGAGACTGTGCGCTATAGAAGATGACTTATTATTATTATTATTAATCTGTCATAAAGGTGAATGCACTACTGATTGTCAGTTATAACATAACTGCCCGTATATAATTGTGGCAAGGCAAACTGGTGGTCGATATCATGACCAACGTCCACACTAATGACAGCTTGGTGACATATTATAACCAACACCACTAGTTGACTCTAACAATAAGGACATCGTTAGAGGAAACTGTTAGAAAGATCCTGGTTGGGGATCGGGGTGCTGTTGTACAAAGCAATCTTAGCTAAGGTGACCATAACTCCCATACCTTAACATAGATTTAAGGTGGTCTTAGTGCTAAGGTTGCTTTGTACAACAGCACCCCGATCCCCAACAAGGATCTTTCTAACAGTTGTGCTTACTGTATTGCTTCTGTTCGACTATAGTACACCTTAGCCTTGTTCATTGGAGGCCCTGCAGAGAGATGACACTATATGATAGTACATGAGCATTTCAGCATTAACTCAACGTCTTTCAACTTTCCTGGTGATACACAGTGCTTTAGCTGCCTAGTGTCCAGTAAGGTAAAATATGATAACCCCTAATGACTTTGTACTTACCTGACGCCACACAGGTAAAACACTGTGGAGGGTCAGGTAAGGAATACTCTATGGAGAGAATTATCAAATAAATGTTTAATCTGTCATAAAAGTGAATGTATTACTCATTGTCAGTTATAATATGGCAGCCTGTATACGATCGAGGCAAGCCAAACCAGTGGTCGATATCAGGAGCAATAGTCCACACTGATGACAGCTCAGGGACACATTAAACCATCACATTTCAGTTCTAACAACTATGTTGTGCTGAGGAAAACCTCTTATCTTGATTCCCAACAAGGACTGTGTGCTTACTTATGAATAACAAAGATTCTCCATCTGAACAGTTTGCAATCAACTTACCAACATAGCTGAGCAGAACTGGTAGGAAGATCAGGCCATGTGTTGCCCCGAACACGACAATACCCAGGTACATGCGGAAGTAGAACACTTGGAACAGCTGCGACTTGGAGAAAGCCAACACAATGATACCTCCCAGCTTGGTGAGAGTGATACCACTCAGTACCTGTAAACAGGAGAGAGTGTGAGTGAGAGAGTGAGTGAATAAATGAGTAAACGAGTGAGTAAATGAGTGAGTGAATGAGTGAGTGAGAGAGAGAGAGTAAATGGGTGAATAAGCGAGTGAATGAATGAGTGAAAGAGTGAGTGAATGACTACTCAGGAAAATGAGTAACTGAGTGAATGAGTGAGTTAGGAAGAGTGGAGTAAGGGAAGAGTGGAATAAGGGAAGAGTGGAGTAAGGGAAGAGTGGAGTAAGGGAAGAGTGGAGTAAGGGAGGGAGGGAAGGAATGAAAGAGGATGGTGGGAACATGCTGTCATGATGGCCTGCAGTAACTTTACGTGTTGATTCATTTGTCACAAAAAGCAGCAGCTTCTATCAATTAGGGTCTGCTATATTTAGTCAGGGCCTGCAGTTTCTGAAGTCTGGTTGTTGCACTCAGCAATATTCCAGCTACATGATGGAAGTCTGTAAATAATCAAGTCTGGACCAGACAATCCAGTGATCAACAGCATGAGCATCGATCTAGACAACTGGGATAGGATGACGTGTCAACCAAATCAACAAGCCTGACCACCAGCTCCTGTTAAACGCCTCTTACGACAAGCATGGGTTGTTGAAGATCAATTCTATCACGGAACTGAAGTCTGTGGTTCCTGATGACAGCCAGGCATTCCATATTTCAAACACTGGGAGGTAGGGAAGACAGACACAGTGTATGCCTCAACAGAAAAGGGTGCATCGAGATGTAATTCCTAAAGCTTGTTGCCTAGGTAACCTACCGAGCTCCCCATGTGTGCCAGGGCATGTTTGGCGCGCTCCTTGCGAGTGGGCATGGTGCTGACAGTGAAGGCTCTCACAATGTGGGAACAGAACTCTACCGATATACCAATAGTCTGAAACACATCACAACACATACAGCGAGGCAACATCAACCAGTCATCAGGCAGTTTATCACAGCCACTGTTTCAAGACAATCTGTCCCCAAAGGCTAGAAATACTGTAAACGTATTATATTTCGCGCAGGTTTTATTTTCGCGCTTTTCGCGCAAAACATTTTAGCGCAAAAATTTATACACCGCGAATAAACCTGTCATTCATTCAGTCTAGCCACGCACTCGCCCTGAGTTGTTACCATAACACATCAAGTTTGAAGACAGAAATCTACGGGAATCTTAAAATGACGACTGATAGTAGCATAAAGAATCATACTAAACTGTCGCTATAATGGATTTCCCAAAACATAATTAAATAATGAGCCAAATCCCATCGCCGAATTAGCGAAAACAGCAATGTGTATTGTGGCCGCCATGGAAATTGGTCACATGACAGATGGTTTGATACAAAACAGATTACCATGAAACGACTCGGAAAGAAATAATACAGCAGTATTTTATTTATTCATTAAGATTTTATTTACCAGTACATCATGAAGCTTAATAGTCACTTAACACTCAATCATCTCATTCACAACAACCCGGCTTGTTTGAAATCACAAAGAGCTTCATATACAGTAGAAGTTAATTCGTCAGATCGTCAGAATTCGGGAACATAAGACTGATGTGTTTTTCATCTCTTCCGTGAGTAAACGGATTACTGTGTACTAGTATATCGCACAGATAGGGATTTCCGGTGAGTAAGCAATAAACGCCGCCTGACAGGTTAAGCCACTCTGTTTGTTTTCACTGCTATTAGTGGCGGCCAAAGAGACAGCTGGCAGTTCCGGCAATTACTGATTGCACGAATAATTGACCGCGCGGTGTAGTCTAAACTGTCAATTCCGCGAAAATTGCACCACGCGAAAATAAGTACGTTTACAGTATCCATTAAATTAGCAATGATCCCACATTTCCTGAACAACTTGTCATGGACCAACACTACTGAACAATGTTTGACCATATTCCAAACATTACCATGTATAAATGATTAAATAAAACTGAACAACAAGATCGTGATCCAGGGTGCCGTTGTACAAAGCAACCTTGGCGTTACGCCAGTTGTAAGTCTATGTTAAGGTATGGGAGCTAAGATCACCTTAGCACTAAGATCGCTTTGTAGAACGGCACCCTGAACCACAAACTCCGATTGATAGATAATATCAGGGTTCTACCGTGACTTACAAAACTAAGGGTCCTGACAACTCTCAATAATTAAAATCAAGGGTAAATACAGGAAATATCAGGGTCCGGTTATGAAACAGAGTAGTGTACTGTATTGTAAGACTAAATAAAAGCTAAAATTACAGGAACTGTATAATTTGTGTAAGGAATGTTCACAAGTGTGTTTTTCTGTATCTTGCAAAACCCTGGATATATTAGTTCTTGATTATCTTGTTTACTGTTTTCAGTTCAAGGTTCCTACCAGTGTTCCTACGAGCGAACACTTTAACCACTAGGCTACCCCACAGCCCCTAAACCAACATGAAGTTACCATGACAAGGTTGACCAGTGTTCCTACGAGCGAACACTTTAACCTCTAGGCTACCCCACAGCCCCTAAACCAACATGAAGTTACCATGATAAGGTTGACCAGTGTTCCTACGAGCTTAACACTTTAACCACTAGGCTACCCCACAGCCCCTAAACCAACATGAAGTTACCATGACAAAGGTTGACCAGTGTTCCTACTGACGAACACTTTAACCACTAGGCTACCCCACAGCCCCTAAACCAACATGAAGTTACCATGACAAGGTTGACCAGTGTTCCTACGGGCGAACACTTTAACCACTAGGCTACCCCACAGCCCCTAAACCAACATGAAGTTACCATGACAAGGTTGACCAGTGTTCCTACGAGCGAACACTTTAACCACTAGGCTACCCCACAGCCCCTAAACCAACATGAAGTTACCATGACAAGGTTGACCAGTGTTCCTACGAGCGAACACTTTAACCACTAGGCTACCCCACAGCCCCTAAACCAACATGAAGTTACCATGACAAGGTTGACCAGTGTTCCTACGAACGAACACTTTAATCACTAGGCTACCCCACAGCCCCTAAACCAACATGAAGTTACCATGACAAGGTTGACCAGTGTTCCTACGAGCGAACATTTTAACCTCTAGGCTACCCCACAGCCCCTAAACCAACATGAAGTTACCATGACAAGGTTGACCAGTGTTCCTACGAGCGAACACTTTAATCACTAGGCTACCCCACAGCCCCTAAACCAACATGAAGTTACCATGACAAGGTTGACCAGTGTTCCTCTGGGTGAACTTTTAACCACTAGGCTACCCCACAGCCCCTAAACCAACATGAAGTTACCATGACAAGGTTGACCAGTGTTCCTACGAGCGAACACTTTAACCTCTAGGCTACCCCACAGCCCCTAAACCAACATGAAGTTACCATGACAAGGTTGACCAGTGTTCCTACGAGCGAACACTTTAATCACTAGGCTACCCCACAGCCCCTAAACCAACATGAAGTTACCATGACAAGGTTGACCAGTGTTCCTACGAGCGAACACTTTAATCACTAGGCTACCCCACAGCCCCTAAACCAACATGAAGTTACCAACCATGAAGCTTAACACTTTAACCACTGAGGCTAAGGCCCCTAAACCACCATGAAGTTACCATGACAAGGTTGACCAGTGTTCCTACGAGCGAACACTTTAACCACTAGGCTACCCCACAGCCCCTAAACCAACATGAAGTTACCATGACAAGGTTGACCAGTGTTCCTACAGGTGAACACTTTAACCACTAGGCTACCCACAGCCCCTAAACCAACATGAAGTTACCATGACAAGGTTGACCAGGTGCCCCTTCCTAGGTTGACCAGTGTTCCTCTACAGAACACTTTAACCACTAGGCTACCCCACAGCCCCTAAACCAACATGAAGTTACCATGACAAGGTTGACCAGTGTTCCTGTTCCTAATGCTTAACACTTTAACCACTAGGCTACCCCACAGCCCCTAAACCAACATGAAGTTACCATGACAAGGTTGACCAGTGTTCCTACGAGCGAACACTTTAACCACTAGGCTACCCCACAGCCCCTAAACCAACATGAAGTTACCATGACAAGGTTGACCAGTGTTCCTACGAGCGAACACTTTAACCACTAGGCTACCCCACAGCCCCTAAACCAACATGAAGTTACCATGACAAGGTTGACCAGTGACACAGCATTGAGGGAGATCTGCCACAAATACATCAGCCCCAACATGTCAGCCAGGATGAAGGCAATCGTGATGACGACCATGATGGCAGAGTACAGTTCGAAGCCCAGCAGGACAAACGTCACGATGAATATGGCGCCGACACAGATGGACAGGTTCTTGATGGTGTCATGCACTATTGTCAGATACTGCTCATAGTAGACGTAGAAAATGCTGAAATGGAAAACAGACAAGGAAGTGATAAATTCAGCCTGAGGCAATCAAATGGCTCATTACCAAGGACTCCATCAACAGAATTTCATTAATTACAGTTTACAACCAGTGAGCTTGGAACAGGGAAAATTGGAACACCTTGACAAAGAGTGAAGGTTACTAGCCAGGCATTTAGCCTTTAGCACAAAGGCAACCATATCCATTAAGAGTAACATGAAGTTACCTCGTATCACTACACCAACTTCTAAATGCTTTTGAAGAATTTCATTGAGAGTAAGCATTAAATTTGGCCACAGGCTAACACTAAGCACAACAAGTGTTTGCCACTGATATGGCAATGTCCACCACCGCTAAAGAATGGAACATCTATAACATATTTACTACTTATTATTATTTGGTCAGATCCACGATGCCTGAAATGACTGGTGTCTGCTGTCTGCTTAATCACCCAATTGGCTGTCGACATACTTGAAAACATTCGGGGCAATGTTTTATGAAATATCGCTTTTAAATAAGTTTGAAAAGTGGTCAAGTGTCATGTCGAGCCAACGCTTGGTGACCTTGAAGATAAGGTCAAGGTCACCCAAATTGACTGGTGTCTGGGTAATCCCCCAATGTAGGCTGTCGCCAAATTTGAAGACATTGGGTACAACAGTTCATGAGATATCACGTTAACAAGAGTTTGAAAAGTGTTCAAAGTGTTGTGGTGACCTTGAAAATAAGGTCAAGGTCACCCAAATCGACTGGTGTCTGGGTAATCCTCCAATGTAGGCTGTCACCAAATTTGAAGATATTGGGTAGAACAGTGCATGAGATATCGCGTTAACAAGAATCTGGACGTACGTGCGTACGGATGCCGACAGGGGGACAATTAGCAAATAAAATTACATATTTACTTTAAAGAAACATTCTTACTCAGGAAACTGGGACTTTTAGTGATTTCGATGACCTGCTCTGTCTCATTTGAATGTCTTATATGTCATTTCATTTCAGGATTTTGAATAAAATTTCTTTCAACCATTAACTTTGATCCAATAATTCAGGTTACCTTATACACACTCTCAAACAACAACCTTCTAAATGTGTATACTTTTTACACTTTCTAAAAATTCATATGCATATTTCTCACAAAAAAATTGATTATGAATTATATTAAGGTTTTTGTAATGGTACATCTTCCAATTAATGTGTAACAATGCATAAACAGGCAATGCACTGTGAAAACATTCAGTGGCAGACTTACAAATGCTTTTAAACAAAGATGCTTTAAGACAGGCTGACACTGCTTTGCCTTAAACTTGGCCTGTATTCGGTCAAACATGGCATCTGGAAGTCCTCAAACACGACACAACTATGTCAGCTGTTCAAACTCTTGTCATTTTACTACAGAAAGTCACAGGGAACCCAAGACCATGGAGTCATGTCCTCCTGCCTCCTTACCTGTACGGGAAGACAGAACTTCCTTCCTCTGTGAAGTTCCGATCCCGTGTGATGTTGCTGGCTATTTCTCTTGCTATCTTGAGAGCAGTGATGTAGTCTTCATTAGTCTTCAGAATAGTGTGGTACGTCATGAAATATGTTGCTGTGAAGAAACACACAAAAACACAGGTTACTTCAGCATGCACATCCAATCATGGGGGCGGTGTAAGTTTGAATGACAGCTATATGGCGTCAGTCTGTAGTCCTAAGCTGTAATCCCTAGGGTGTAAGTTTGAAATGACAGCTATATGGCGGCAGTCTGTAGTCCTAAGCTGTAATCCCTAGGGTGTAAGTTTGAATGACAGCTATATGGCGGCAGTCTGTAGTCCTAAGCTGTAATCCCTAGGGTGTAAGTGTGTCTCCCACAGTCAAGACGAGCCTACAGACCTGACAATCCAGTGATCAACAGTATGAGCATTGTTCTACACAATTTTGATATGATGTTGAATCAACAAAGTCAGCGAGTTTGATCACCCGATCCTGTTAGTCGCCTCTTACGACAAGCATGGGTTACTGAAGACCAATTCTAATCAAACAACCATCTGAACCATTTGCTTCAACAGATTTGTGACTTGTGAGAGGTACATAAGACAAGGTATGGACCAGACACACCAGAGAGGATAAGGAACATCCCACACTGTCGGACAATCATAACCATGATGGGCCAAGTCACCGATAAAAAAAGCGAGTTAGTGGGGTTTTAAACCATTATTCTCGTCACTATATGGCTGAAATATTGCCGATGTGACGTTAAATATTAACTCACTCACTCACTTTAAACCATTATTAGTAGTATTCCAGCAATATCATGGCAAGGAGTCCAGAAATGGCCTTCCATTTGGAGAATCAAACCTGGGCCTTCAGTGTGACGAGCAATTGCATTTATCACTACGCACAATGACAAAGGAGGGACAGCATAGTTTGGGCATCATTGTTTCGTTGGCTCTCAAAGTGGATTCAACAAAAAAAACCATGGATAAACATATTAATAAATAATGAAAAATAATAATTCCAGATTTAGGGCAAAAGCACTCTAATCCCCCAGCAACAACCAGGCCACTCCATCAACCAACGAGGTATTAGGGACTAACTGCCGAGGAATCCTGTGTGGGTGGCTGTACAGAGTGTTACATGAAACTGACTAACCTCCTACAGTCTTGTTCTTGTTCAGTAGTTCTACAGCAGACCCATACGCAGGATGACCACTGCAAAGTTGAAGTCATACATTTTACATATACCAGTATCTGAAACAATACACTTCCAATAGCTGATCCGAAAAGGGAGAGAACTTTTGGATGTCAACTTCTTTATTACCAGGAACAATAACGAAGTTGACACAAATTCTCTCCCTTACATTTATCACTTTCCATATGAAATTCAAGAACTGATCAGAAATATGTGTAACTGCACTAGACACGTACTCATGTCAAAACTACATCTTGTTCTTTCTACTGTCCTCTATCTTCCAGAGACAACTGACTGTAAAAGTCTTATTTCCACCCTTCCCCAACAAACCTGAAATTATAGGGATGTATTTTGCCTGGATTAATGAGTCTAGGCATGGCTCAATCATAATTGTCAATAAAAAAGTCAATATTCGGTTCAGGAACAACAGCCACTGTCCTGGTACAATGACACCATCCGCAAGGTCACACACTGTGATAGAGCTATCGTCATATATGGCGTTGCTACATGGCAACGGATTGTAAATAATCGAGTCTGGACCAGACAATCCAGTGATAAACATCATGGGCATCACTCTTAGCAATTGGGATACGATGACATGTGTCAACCAAGTCAGCGAGCCTGACTATCCAATTCCGTTAGTCGCCTCAACATGGGTTACTAAAGACCAATTCTAACCGTGATCTTCACGGGTTCTAATAAATTAATGGAAGAATGCTGTTTGACACCAAAGTCAGCACCTATAACAAACGCCATCAAAATGTCTAATCTGGTCAAGATAAAACATTACCTGGAAACATTAATGATCCATGCCACTGTAACGACATATTCACAGAGTCTGACAACCCAATCAATCCATGGCACCTTCATTAGAATATAACATGGACATGCCACTGTGGGCCAGTCAAGAGGAACCTACCCTTTGGAACACTTGATTTCTGGAATGTCATCTAAGTACCAGGGCAAATAAGTCATGAAGTCCTCTTCAGATGGACGTCCTTTTTCAAAGTTGGTTAAGTTGCATTTAACACAGGAGTCATTAACAACTGAAACATGACGTAGAGCTGGTGTCATCAAAAAGTACAGGTGATCAATAAAGTTCTCTTCAAGAATTTCAAAAGCTGTGTTATCCTGGTTAGAATGTTGAGATCTGATTGGTCCACATGACTACACAGTAACCTCCCTGGGAGGGAATATATGTTTCTGAGCAGGAGAATAATTCCCTTACATCCAAACATAAATCTATAGCATCCCGCTATGAATAAAGGTCACATAACAAGTTAATTAAGGTACCTAACTGAGCTCTTTCCAAATAGGTTCCACTTATTTTCTTAAATAAATGCTGCATTAATTAGTATTTTCTTTTAAAATATTTGGTAAAATGTAGCAAAGATTCATCAGTAAAATAGAATAGAACCCAAGCCAGAAGTGAAAATACACTGCAAACAATGTTTAATGTTGTTACTTGTAGCTTTGCAGAAAGTATCTGTGTCCTCGTAGTAGCGGCAGCATGGTGGGTTGCCATCGGGGGGTGATCCAGCTGAAGTAGTCGTCCAGCCACGAGGAGGCAGGGTGAGCGATGCGGGTGCTGCAATTAACGATGAAAAACTTCTGAGGCCACCAAACATCACAATACATGGTAGAGAATTGATCCCGGTATTAATCAGTACTCTGGAGATGAGATCAACACACAGTGTGCATCTGTTCAATGTTTTATAACGTGTCTGAAGATCTTTCAACGTCTTATGATGTGAACAGGGATGTTTCAATGTCTCATGACATGGACAGAGATGTTTCAATGTCTTGTGACGTGGACAGGAATATTTCAATGTCTCATGACGTGGACAGGTATTTTTTCAATGTGTCATGAAGTGGACAGGAATGTTTCAATGTCTCATGAAGTGGACAGGGATTTTTCAATGTCTCATGACGGGGACAGGGATGTTTCAATACCTTGTTGCATGGACAGAGATGTTTCAATATCTCGTTACGTGGACAGGGATGTTTCAATATCTTGTGACGTGGACAAGGAAGTTTCAATATCTCGTTACGTGGACAAGGATGTTTCAGTGTCTCATGACATGGACAGGGATGTTTCAATGTCTCATGACATGGACAGGGATGTTTCAATGTCTCATGAAGTTGACAGAGATGTTTCGATGTGTTGTGACGTGGACAGGAATATTTCAATGTCTCATGACATGGACAGGGATGTTTCAATGTGTCATGAAGTGGACAGGAAGGTTTCAATGTCTCATGAAGTGGACAGGGATTTTTCAATGTCTCATGACGTGGACAGGGATGTTTCAATATCTTGTTACATGGACAGAGATGTTTCAATATCTCATTACGTGGACAGGGATGTTTCAATATCTTGTGACGTGGGCAAGGATGTTTCAATATCTCGTTACGTGGACAAGGATGTTTCAGTGTCTCATGACATGGACAAGGATGTTTCAATGTCTCATGACATGGACAGGGATGTTTCAATGTCTCATGACATGGACATGGATGTTTCAATATCTCATTACGTGGACAGGGATGTTTCAATATCTCGTGACATGGACAGGGATGTTTCAATATCTTGTTACATGGACAGAGATGTTTCAATATCTCGTTACATGGACAAGGATGTTTCAGTGTCTTATGACATGGACAGGGCTGTTGCAATATCTCAGCACATGGACAGGAATGTTTCAATGTCTCGTTACGTGGACAAGGATGTTTCAGTGTCTCATGACATGGACAGGGATGTTTCAATGTCTCATGACACGGACAGGGATGTTTCAATATTTCATTACGTGGACAGGGATGTTTCAATATCTCTTGACATGGACAGGGATGTTTCAATATCTTGTTACATGGACAGGGATGTTTCAATATCTTGTTACATGGACAGGGATGTTTCAATATCTCGTTACGTGGACAAGGATGTTTCAGTGTCTCATGACATGGACAGGGATGTTTCAATATCTCGGGACATGGACAGGGATATTTCAATATCTTGTGACGTGGACACGGATGTTTCAATGTCTCATGACTGACTGACTGACTGAGTTTGGTTTTACGCCGCTTTTAGCAATATTCCAGCAATATCACGGCAGGGGACACCAGAAATGGGCTTAACACATTGTGCCCATGTGGGGAATCGAACCCGGGTCTTCGGCGTGACGAGCCAACGCTTTAACCACTAGGCTACCCCACTGCCCTCAATGTCCCATGACGTGGACAGGGATGTTTCAATATCTCATGAAGTGGACAAGGATGTTTCAATGTCTCATGACATGGACATGGATGTTTCAATATCTCATGACATGGACATGGATGTTTCAATATCTCATTACGTGGACAGGGATGTTTCAATATCTCGTGACATGGACAGGGATGTTTCAATATCTTGTTACATGGACAGAGATGTTTCAATATCTCGTTACGTGGACAAGGATGTTTCAATATCTCGTTACATGGACAAGGACATTTCAGTGTCTTATGACATGGACAGGGCTGTTTCAATATCTCATGACGTGGACAGGGATGTTTCAGTGTCTTATGACATGGACAGGGCTGTTTCAATATCTCGTGACATGGACAGGGATGTTTACGTGGACAGGGATGTTTCAATATCTCGTGACATGGACAGTGATGTTTCAGTGTCTTATGACATGGACAGGGATGTTTCAATATCTCATGACGTGGACAGGGATGTTTCAATATCTCATGACATGGACAGGGATGTTTCAATATCTCGTTACGTGGACAGGGATGTTTCAATATCTTATGATGTAGATCTTGATTCATTAGACTCGAGAGAAAATACAACTGAGGACACATCATACTGCAAAACACCTGCCTTCAATACTTCTGATCAATACAATCTTATAACCTGAAGAGTTCCTGTGGGAAATGCTGCTTAAATTAGTAATTAAAAAAAATATCAAAGCAACGCTTTTTCTTTGCATGTATGCCACTTGATAGAAGTTATAATGAAAGTAAAAACCCTACACTACTCACTAATTAGCCTGTTGTGCTGCCTTAAAGATTTGTCCAAGTACAGAATTTTCCGGACAACCGTTGCCGCCGCAGATATCATTCTGCCCAGCTGTGTTGGTGTAGTTGTGGTTCATCTTCACAACGAAGTACACGGGTGGACCAACAGACAGGTAGGTAGATATGTTGTTGAAGTAGTCAAGAACATACGAGTCCTGAATGTAAAATACAAAACATGTGATACACGATTTACCAGGGCTCTGGAGAAACAGCATACTTGCTTAAATTCTGCAAAATATATAACCTTTACCTGTAATTTAAAAAAAAAATTTTTTTTACCTTTACCTGTAATTACCGAGTGGTTTACAAACAAAGAAACCTACAAATTTTTATAAAACCCTTCGGTATGACAAAACACTGAGTAATTACAGTTGATAGATCACATACAGGCATCACACATGTATACATTCTACTACAGTGAATAATGAATGCATATCGTGTACATCTCGCCTATTTTAATTGTACATGCGTTTTAGTCACTTATATTAATATTCATAATCTATTCATTAGCATGAAAAAGTCGATAGACTAATATATATACAGAATACAGAAAGAAAACTATTAACATAAATGATAAAGTGAGTGAATACTCAATGACACCCAAAAATTTTGCAGGAACCATAGAGGAATAATCCGTAATCTTAGTGATACAAAATAGATATCAAGTAAGGTTTTCTCATACTGCCCTAAATGTGATAGTGAACAGTGTTGCAGCATTATGTGAATCTCACCTCTGGCATGGAGAGTTTTTGATCCAACCCGATTTCAATCCTTGGTGCCATGGCACAACTAGCACAGAACCACCCAACAAAGATGACCATCTACAAAACACATGATATATGTGACACACAGACTGAGAAAAATGTAATTTTTGAAGTAAAATTGATATCTTATACTGACTCATGAACTTTTGCTTATCTCCTTCTTCTATGCGAATGTTATTGGAACACTTGAATCCCTTGTAGTTCCCTAAAGAAGACGTAAAAGTTCAATCACCGATGAGTCACCTCCCTTTTCCCGCGCAAACAGTCATGTGACCAGCCATACTTGCCACTCTCTCCTGAATATAGCCCATTCACTTGGATCTACTGTGAAATCCGAAGTGTCTCCAGCAGGGAGGTCCTGACCTCATGAGTCAGGATAAGTATAAAATATAAACTTTACTTAAAAAATTACATATTTTTCCTTATCCTGACTCATGATCTTTTGCTTATAGAATCCGATGGATGGGTGGTGGGTCAAGCCACTTGCTGGATTCATCAGCTGTCCATACGTCCTGTATCCCCCCATGGGAACTGTGTAACGGCATTTCCTAGATCCTATTCTTCCAACTTCCGTTATTACTCGGGGGGACCACAATCTTGTCTTACTTCTCTCTCAGACAAGTGAATCTTCTAGATTCATGTGGATTTTAGATAAACTAGTATCTTCTTTTTACTAGTTATCTTTAACAACCCATAGATTATGATAAAATCATTATCATAAATGAGTTGCGACCCCTTAACGTACAGGTAAGATCGATACCCGTACAGAGTCTTAATCACTCATGCTAGTCTAGTCTAGACTATGCGCATGGACTTTCAAACTAGTACTTTTTCCATAGTAAAAGTTGTCAACAAGTCAACATGATATAGGGCGAGATTTCCAACTCAGTGCTACAACAAGAGGCCCAAATTGGTGAATGCCTGAGACGTCTTCGGTTGCTATGTCTCTGAGGTAGTGGTTGGCAAACACTTATCGGACTTCCAAAAGCAGCCCTCCATTATTGATGATATTGAGCAATTTCCATGCAGAGCGAGTGTAGACACCAGTGCTTTGACTTCATGTGGGTTGGAAGCTCTTGGAGGTTCTAATCCTGCTGCTTTATTGGCTCTTAGTAAAACAGTTCTCATCCAAAACGATACTGTCGTTCTTGAGACCTCCACCGATGTCTCCGTCGACAAGGGGATGAAAAGGCGCTTGAATTTTCTTCTCCTTGTTTTAGTCTTTTGAAGATATATTTCAAAGCTCTGACAGGACACATGGATAAGTCCTGGGTGTCCTCTGGACCGAGGATCATAGATAGCGCTGGGACATGGAACTGTCTATCTGGTTGACCAGGTAGTTGATTCTTTGCAATAAAGTCCCATCTAAGTCCTAGATGTACTGCAGCACCGTGCCCCGTGTTGAATCTAGTTCGTCCAAAGTCCAGCGCATGTATCTCAGACATACGAGCTGCCGTGGCTAGGGCAAGCAGGAACAGAGTTTTCTGCGTGAGTAGTTCGAAGGTAGTCTGCTGTAGAGGTTCGTAGGCATCACTCATGAGATGTTGCAGAATTACATTCAGATCCCAGGCTAGTGCTCTGAATTTCTTTTGCTGGTCCTCCAGTTTAAAAGATCGCAGCAGAGCTAGTAATTCAGGCACTTTCGTCAATTTGATGCCTGTCTTCATAGTGACGACTCTACTATTGCTGCCAGATATGTAGATAATGTCGAACCTTTCAAATGCTTTGTATATCTAAGGTGACATAGACTGACTGACTGACTGACTGAGTTTAGTTTTACGCCGCTTTTAGCAATATTCCAGCAATATCACGGCTGGGGACACCAGAAATGGGCTTAACACATTGTGCCCATGTGGGGAATCGAACCCGGGCCTTTGGCGTGACGAGCCAACGCTTTAACCACTAGGCTACCCCACCGCCCTAAGGTGACATAGATATTCCGCCACTTGTGGATGAGATGCTTTCATAGCTGTGAAGCCTTTCCGCCTTGCATATTGCTCAAATTTCTGCCATTTGTCGTCATACAAATTGCGAGTAGATCTGCGTAACGCTAGGGTTACTGCTTTCGCTGCTCTGGCAGAGAATCCTCTTTTCTTCAGACAGGTTTTGAAACGGTGCACATGTGTAGCTGGAACAATGTTGGGTTCCTGTGGACTTGCTTGGTGTGCGGATGTCTGAGTTGGTTCGGTCATCTGGTACTTTGAGGGTTGTACTTCCGAGATCTTCTATTAGGTCTAGGAACCAGACTCTCGCTGGCCATTAGGACACGACCAAAGTCAGTTGTAGCGCTTGTGTCTGATTGATCTTCAACAGTACTTTCGGTAGTAAGATCGGAGGTGGAAATGCGTAAGCGTTTAGTCCTTCCCATGATATGCTCAGTGCATCTGTTGCCCAGGCTTAGGGGTCTGGTATTGGTGAAACAAATGTCTGCAGTTGTTTGTTCAACCTTGTCGCGAACAGGTCTATGCATGGGGATCCTATTTCCCTTATGATGAGCCGGAACGCTTCTGGATGGAGCATCCATTCCGTGGGTGATGGGTGCTGTGGTCGGGAAAGAGCGTCTGCTAGTACGTTCTTGGCTCCCGGTATGTGACACGACTTTATCCAGATGTTTGCCTTCTCTGTGATGTTGAACAACTGGAATGTGAGTTGCAATAGGCTTGGCAATCTTGTTGATCCTTGCCGATTTATGGAGAATGCCACTGTAGAGTTGTCCGTGTGGATCATCAGCATTCTGTTGCTCAGCGAACTCGACCATAGTTGTACGGCGTTGATCACAGCTTTCATTTCTAGCAGATTGATGTGAAGATGCTGTTCTGCATTTGACCACTTCCCTGATGCAACTTGGTTGTTGAGATGTGCACCCCATCCCTGTAGCGATGCATCTGCGTAGAGATGTGTGTCGAAGACCCTGCGCAGACATTCGACCTGTGATTCCACCAAAGTAGGTACACTTTGAGATGATCTGGTAGCGAGATAGGGTCGCTGCTGACCAGATGTTTTGCCAGGAATCGTTGCAATGGCCGTAGTTGTAACCATCACAGTGCAAGTCAAGTCCTGCGCTGAGGTTAGTAGACTGAGTAGACATTGCCATGGTCGTAGTGTTAACGGAGACATGACTGCTTGAGGAATCATGGCTTGTATCTTGACCCAACGATCTTCTGGGGTCACAATTCGATTCTGTGTTGTGATGAATTTTATCCCCAGGAATTGCAGATCTTGTTTTGGTTCCAACTCCGACTTCATCAGGTTCACTAGCCATCCTAGTTGTTTGAGCAACTTGATTGTGAAGTTCAGCTGCTTTCCGAGTTGTTTGGCACTTTGATGAACCTGTATGCCGTCGTCCAGGTAAAAGGCATTGCGTAGACCTCAATGATGTAGGTAGGCGACTATGGGCTTGGTTATTCGTGTGAATAACCACGGAGCTGACGATATTCCAAACGGTAGGACGTTCCATTGGAAGTGCTGACCTCTGAATAGGAATCGTAGATATTTCCTTGATTCCGGATGTATGGGGATGTATAGATATGCACCCTGTAGGTCTATGGTGGCCATAAAGTCTGCTGGACGAATTAGTAGTCTGAGTTGAGGTAGGTGGATCATTCTGAACCTTTCCGGTTTGAGTAGATAGTCTTGGTTGAATTTCCGCATGTTGTAAATCAACCTGAATTTCTCTTTGGAATTCTTCTTGGGTACTAGGAAAATTGGGGAATAGAAGCTTGGCGTGAGATGATCTTGATATATTCTTTCTACCGCATTCTTGGTTAGAAGTGAGTTGATGGCTTCTTGTAGTTTGTCTGCTTGCTCGTCTGCATAGTTGAAGACCATTGGTCTGAGGGTTAACGGTGGTGTGGCCTTGAGCTGCACTCTGTACCTTTCTTGCAGTACTTGAGAGACGTAGTCGTCATCCAGTATTCCCCAATTTTCCCAGTACCTTTGTAGACGTCCACCCACTGTCGATGGTTGTACAGAAATGGCTGGGGGTGGAAGCATCCAGTTGTTCCGAACCCCACTTTCAGCGTCTAGCCCCTCTGAAACCTCTGGGAGTACATCCTCTCCCGGAGTTTCCTCTGTAGTTTCCGGATGGGCGGCTAAAAGAACTTTTCCCGCCTCTGAAGTTAGAGTACTTCTTCTCCTTAGCCTTCTGGATACCGGAGAATTTCGACTTGCTGTTGTGCTTCTGTGAAGTATGACGAATGACGTTGGCTAGAGTGTCTATAGACTTGATCATCATGACTTCCCTTCCTTAGCTGCTTCATCTATCTAACCTCCGAAGATGGTAGGCGCCACCCAAGGAACTCTAAGTAGCGGTTGGGTAAATCTGTCACTCCAGGAACATGATGCCAGTAGACCCTGTCTCAGTAATAAGGTGAGACCCGCCAACGTTGAGGCCAGATGATCCGATATGAAGTATTGGTCCTTTTTCTGAGTGAGCAGAGCAGATAATATCATTCTATCTTCTTCCGAACTGGGGTTCTGGAACTTGTTAATCAATGCCTCATTGATTGCTCTGGACCTCACTAATCCGAAGAAAGATCTCCTCATCGCTGTATCAAGTTGAGCCAACTTCTTATCCTCCACCTTGTAGACCTTGTTTCGAGAGTCATTAACCAATTTTACATTTTCATCTAAGTCCGGCGCTCTCATGAAGGGGTCCATGTGATGTAAGGGCAATTTCCTCGCATTAAATGCTGGCAGATGTTGATTCTGGAATCTAGAAGCTTTGTCATGGATATAGGTTCAACCGGCGCAATGGTGATTGAGTCGAAGTCATCCTTGCACATCTTATATGTGTAAACTTCATCCAATTCCTTGGAGGGAGACTCTAAGTTAAATCCATTAGCTATCCAAACTGTAACTTCCGTATCTGAGAAGACGTAGTCGGTATGTTCATCCGATAGTTCTTGTTCCGTAGAACTATGCCTTCGCAATCCTCCGCGTGCGAACCTTCCTTTCGCGAATGTTGTGAGTCATCCTTTCGCGAACGTCTGTCTCGTGATTCCTCCCTTCGCGAACCTCTGTCTCTTGATCTATCCCTTCGCGAACTAGTCTCTCACGAATGTTCCCTTCGCGAACTTCCATCTCGCGAACCTTGCCTTCGTGAACCTTCTCTTCACGTATGAGAGCTGTGGGATGTAGAGCTGGAACGGCTGGCTCTTGGGGATGGATTCCTAGATGTTCTCGAACGTTGAGGGTTCACAGACGAAGTTGTCGTAGAGTTAGTAGCTTTCGCGTATCTTTCATCCTGTTGTATGATGACAGAGTGGTCCGATTACAAAATACAAATAAATTCTTCAATTTTTTTACATATAATGCAAGCTAGTTATAACCGAAAGCCATACACAGCGTAATTTGGATAAAAGGATCTAAATGTAAAGGATATAATGCCGTATAGTGCTCCAGTGCTCGCACAACCATCCGCTTGGATGATGAAGGAGAGAGTGGCAAGTATGGCTGGTCACATGACTGTTTGCGCGAGAAAAGAGAGGTAACTCGTGGGTGAGTGAACTTTTACGTCCGCTTTAGGGAACTACAAGGGATTCAAGTGTTCCACTAACATTCGCATAGAAGAAGGCGATAAGCAAAAAAATCATGAGTCAGGATAAGGAAAAGTACATATATTGTGCTAGGATACATGTTTGAATTGTACTAGTACTTATACAGTACTGAACCAGACAATCCAACTGATCAGCGTAACAAGCATCGATCTATGTGTCAACCAAGTCTGCAAGCCTGGCCACGTGATCCCAAGTAGGTCACAGTACTTAGCGAGACCTTACTACCTCCGGTGACAAACAACGGTTCATACTTTTTTGAATGGTCTCATGGTTGTCAGTTGACAGTAAGGAACTGATAATCCTTGCAGGAATAACACATTTCCGATCTAACCATCCCAAAATGAGCCAACTATTACGACTGTCAAAGGCTGTAGCAGCCAAGCATGGTTGTACATTTGGTGCCGTCTAGTAAAGTCATACTTGGTGGTGGCGTAATTTGGAACTAGAACTTATTCTGGAATATACGCTTGTCACTGGAAATCTGGTACCAGAAGTAAGTTGGGCCCCGTCTCGCATATCGCAAGTTGGCAGTTGCAAAGGGAGCCGGGGACCAGCTTAGTACTGGAGGTAGCGCCTCGTGGGACTTACAGGCCCTATTAGTCGCCTCTTACGACAAGCATGGTTTGCTGAAGACCAATTCTAACCCTGATCTTCACGGGTTCCTGATGCTGGTAGATTTTGTTTTGTTGAATGTGAAAGAATAATGATATTTGATTAAAACTGACCACAATCGGCCGGACCCACTCCTTCATGATGAAGTGAGAGTAGTATTCCTTGACGAATGTATACAGAAGGCCCTCGTGTTTCTCCTCCTTATCTACGTTCCTCATCTTCACGCAGCAGCAGCAGTCAAAGTGATTTTTCTAGAAAAAAACCCCAACCCCTTAATCAATAAAGGCATTCAGTTGAGACGTAACAATAGAAGACGCAATGCGATGCTATCTCGATAATATGAATGCGATATGATTTGTACAGTACTTTTATTTCATAAATCCACATTCTCCCCCTTTTGGATTCACAACATTGAATCATTAAATTTCAGACAGTGATATTGGGACAATGGAGGTGAGACATTAAACCCTGGGGCCACCGTGAAGATTCTGTTGTTTATAGCCAGCCAGGAAATACTAGAGAATAAGCATACACTGGTTGTTGAACAATTTCTGTTATTACCAATATTAGTCTAGTTTTACATCACTGCACCTTGTAATGATGGTTTACTATGTGCTCTGATACAGGAGCTGAAAGTCGATTGTATCATGAGCCTTGTATCTCGATACAATTCTGTATTGCTGCATCATTACACCACTGGCATCCAATCGTTAACGTAAGGGTGAGGAAATACGGTTGTACACTGCTTTTAGCAATATTCCAGTAATATTGAGTTTTGAGTTTAGTTTTATGCCGCTTTTAGCAATATTCCAGCAATATCATGGTGGGGGACACCAGAAATGGGCTTCACACATTGGACCCATGTGGGGACTCGAACCCAGGTCTTCAACATGACGAGCGAATGTTTTAACCACTAGGCTACACCACCGTCCATATTCCAGTTATAACTGCAGGCACTCACCTCCTGTCTCTTGGCATCCAGACACATCAGCGCCACCAGACACGTGACCTGCAGCAGGAAGTCAAATAAGACAGCCATTGCAGCATACAGAGAGAAGATCTTCACTGCGGGCATGTCGGTCAGGGCACCTTGGAGAATAAAAACAACAACTGGCATGTCAAGCACTGAATACTAGTGACTGAGTTCCAGTAAAAACTATTAGGGTTTAAAAGAAGGAAAAAGCCATTACCCCTGAATCTGGAAAATGCATTGTGCTCAGATCGGGCCAGATATTTCACAGCTATTGCTTATACTTGTTTGAGTGGCATTTGAGAAGTTGAGACGTACAATATGGAACAAGATTTTATGGATAACAACTTCTTTATTTCGTGAGTGCGACGTTTCGATACAGATTCTTGTACCATTGTCACTCTTGCTTGACAACGGTACAAGAATCTGTATCGAAACGTCGCACTCACGAAATAAAGAAGTTGTTATCCATAAAATCTTGTTCCATATTGTATTGCTTATACATGTACTGATGAAAGTAAATTTACCCAACAACCTCCCACACACCAACAACAACCCCTACAACCTCCCACACACCCAGCACATACCCAGGAAGAAAGCAATGGACTCGGAGAAGCTGGTGAGCATCATGCTAGGACCCACTCTGCCCAAAATGCGGCCAATCTGCTGCTCCAGGTCCTCTGACGCTAGCCGCACATCACGCTGGAATAACCCAGACAATGTGGAAACAACATAAGATAATGTGCACCAAGACACAAGACTAAAATGATTTTTTATAAGAGGACTAGCAGTTATTCAGTGTGACTGATATGGACATTCTGCAGTCAGAGTAATGACAGAATCTGTAATGTGATTGAGAAATGAATTGTGTTCCAGGTTGAGATCAGGAGTTCTTTACTGCATACTCTTCTACACAAGACAATATTTGAAGTACAGATACTAACGTCCTATGATCTAGGTAAAGCTGACTTTATCCAAAGTTACCTGATATGCCTGTACTAGAATAAAGATGTTGTCCACACCCACAGCAAGCACAAGGAACGGCACAACCTCGATGATGATGAGTGTTGCTGGCTGGCCTACGTAGCTGAAGAAGCCTAATGAACACCCCACAGACAGAAGCACAATCAGCACGCCGGCCAGACCCATCGTTATTTTGGAGTCAACCTGAGGAAGAGACAGAGGACTTGTATTTCAGTAACAGTGAGTCAGTCAGTTGTAACAGAACCCCTGCCATGTATCATCCAGGGTCCTGATCCACAAAGTGTTTGTAAAGTTACGACCTGTCGTAACTCTATAGTTTATCATAGGCTTACGAATGTCGTAGCGCTACAGATGTTTTAAGGATCGGGACCCAAGGACACCAGAATTGGTTCATACACTGGACACAAGGGTGGAATGGAACCGATCTATCGGCATGACAAGCAAAGACGTTAACTACTTGGCTCTTCCGCCACCCAAGATGAAATACAACAAAGGTACACCACACCATGGAGTAAAATCATTACAATGTAGCTTAGTCCAGATATAGAAATCGTTTGTGCATTTCAAGAAACTTAACTACTGCTTATTCAGATCAAAGAACAGCCGACAAGTTAAATGAAGTGAAATAGTTTGATTTCACGCTAGACAGCAGTTCAGTTATTTGACACCATCTCTCTACATGTGGATGAAAACAGACATGTGCTAGGTCACAGACTTTAACCACTTTAGTGAAAACTTCAAATACAGGTGATCAAGCCTATGACCATCCTAAATAGGCTAAGGGAAGTAACTCTGCAGAGTTAACTCTGGTCCACAAGACCAAATGGTCAAGTGTTCGAATTTTGAGATAACCTTTTTCAAATACAATTCATGATAATGATGAAAATTTTATGTCAGAGCAAACTGTATGAAGAAAAATGATAAACAGGACTCAAATAGAATATCAATTTTGAAACTGGAGTGACTTACAAAGAATCTGGCACAGGTGTTGATCTTGCCAAGGGTCAGGGAGATATAGGCAAACATGATGAGGTAGCTTAGGAGGATTGTAATGACGTCAGAACTACTCTCTCGGTTGATCTCATCCTGGATTGAACGCTGGGGAAAGAATAGAATGAGAGCTAAATTGAACAATGAAATACATATACAGTTATGGATACAGCCAACGTTTCAATAACACATTTCTTTGACACTTCACCTGTTTAACACTGAAACAAAACAAGGACAGCTTAATGGATATTTCTTCATCTCATTACACTGAGCTGTCAAAATGTTCCTTCACATGTTCCTAACAATGCTAAAAGACATCAAACATACTCCTGAGATGACAATGGAGATACTGGGCAAAACCTTCCTCACAGATCACTGATCTATTATAATTTTCCTGACATTAATGTCACGCTTAGCTCCAAGGAGAAGGAAAACAAAAATATTGTAACGTCCCTTACAGTGATGTCACGCTTACCTCCGCGGTGAAGGAATGCACATATTGGGAAGAGCCTCCTCACAAAAACATTGTAACGTCCCTTACAGTGATGTCATGCTTACCTCCGAGGAGAAGGCAATAGACATGTTGGGGTTGGAGTAACTCTTCATGAATTTGAGATACTCTGATTCCCACGCTTCTGCCTTAGCGTTGTCTGCCTCGTTCACATGGTTGTTGACCAGGAATGATATAACCAGTGCAGTAGCATTATGGTAGTTCTCACCTGTTGACAGAAGCAAAGGTTACTACTTCACTAGAATAAAGGTGGAAACACCAGCTTTTATCATGTATTACATGACCATTACAGTATTTACCAGGACTCCATGCTATTTTGCAGACAAACTGGGAGAAATCACCATAACTTTGTTTAAATGTGTTTTTAAATGTCAGTATTTTTTAAATAAAAAACATTTCAATACTTCATTAAATGCAAAACTGTCAAACAAAACATAAATGCCTTTTTGTTTTCTATTTAGTTATGAAATGCATCAACTCAAAATAATCATAAGTGCAATATGACTGTGATAAAAGTACTTTGAAATTTTTAAAATTCAAGTTTGGAAAAAAATGTATCTTCTGTATTAAGGTCAAATATTGGCCTCTGGGCAAGTCAGGGTAAATCCCTTCAAACTAAGCCCCATCAGTTGACATCAGTATTACAACAGTAGTATTCCTGTAACCTCCACCCTGTACGAGCGGTGGGGTAGTCTAGTGGTTAAAGCGTTGGCTCGTCACGCCGAAGACCCGGGTTCGAATCCCCACATGGGTACAATGAGTGAAGCCCATTTCTGGTGTCCCCCGCCGTGATATTGCTGGAATATTGCTAAAAGCGGCGTAAAACCAAACTCAGTCAGTCAGTCAGTCCACCCTGTACCTACCATCATACCCTCCGAGCGCCACCCAGGGGAAGGTGGGTGCCCCGTCCGTTCCTAGGCATGAGGTGTGGAGCTTGGTGGTGTCATTCAGCGATGCAGGGGCTCTGGTGACAAAAAGAACTCAGGCTACAGAAGAATCACATTGCAGTGTGGCACGTACAGGGTTCATGGAAGATCCCTAAACCATATATCTCAATTGAAGTAGCTTCCTTCAAAGTCACAACTCTGGTATGACTTAGAAATTTTTCCCAGACTTGGGTGAGTGAGTGAGTGGGTGAGAGGGAGGGAGGGAGGGAGGGAGGGTGTGTTTGTGCGGTTGTGCGTGCGTGCGCGCATGCGAACAAAGTATTTAGACATTGGTCTTATTTTTTAGGTTAATTTACTATACTTTACTAGATGGAAAGTTTTTTTTACCTAGTCAGGTTACCTGATATTATAATTTTGCAAGCTCAAAAGAAAAGAAAGCAGCCATTGGAGTGAGTGAGTGAGTGAGTAAGTGAGTTTAGTTTTACATCGCTTTTAGCAATATTCCAGCAATATCACGGCGGGACCCCAGAAATGGGCTTCACACATAGTGCCCATGTGGGGAATCAAACCCAGGTCTTCAGCGTGACAAGCAAATGCCTTAACCACTAGGCTACCACACCACCCCTCCAAGACTTCAGACATCTCAAGCAATCTTGGTTATATTGTATGTACTCATGGTCAATGAACATTGTATGACAAGGTACTAAGGATCAGAGATCTTCACCTGACACAGTAGAGGAAGTGGTCCAGGTAATCCGCCTCCACAAAGAAACCCGAGCTGTCGTTTACTGACTTGTCCAGCATTTCATGCGAGTCTTGGTAGTACTGGAAGATACTCTGAATGGTACAGTTGGGGTATACTGGCGCCATGGGCTGGAAGCAAATATCCTGCAGACTCACGGTGTCGTTGCCGAGCTTTGTTGTCAGATGCTCCAGTGTGTTCTGCAGTCTCAGAACCTGGAACACACAGATCACACACTTCAAGCATTTAAATATCTTGGACTCTATAGGTTCCAAATGAAACTGCCATTTTGAATCTGAATGAGGATTTAGATCGCCAAAGGAAAATGCAGTACTCCACCTCCTCAAAAATATGCTGCTTAATCATTCCTGAAGATCTCCTGTTCAATGGCATGGCCAAACTAAAGACAGACATAGATTAGACAATACTTTGCCCTGTGGTACAGAACTGTTTGACACAGCAAAACCATTTCATTATCACATCAATAAGCATATATCATGTATCATTTTATTCTAATAATACCATGTTGATGACATCACTAACCCTGCTAACAGATGTATCAAATTATTTTGCTTCAATTTTACTGATTTCTCTTACCTGATGCAGGAACTCTTTATCAAAGATAGCTGGGAAGTATTCATACTCTGTGGATGGAGGCGGGGAGCTTGTGGGCGACCTTGGAATGGTTGCCAGTCCGGGTGATGATCATCTGCTCAACTCGGTAGAATGGCCTGACACAGACATGGACAATAGGCATACTGGCATACAGCAAAATGCTTTTCAAAACACCTGTGTTATAATATTTTTCATATACATGGTATATTGGGTAAAACATTTTGAAAAGTGTTGCTGTCACCATGGTTACTTGTGTTGTTTAACCTGAAATCTACAATGATGGATCCCTTAAATTGATTGACAAAATGGTAGACCACAGAATTTTTTTCTCATGCTATCTCTCCATGACTACATAATGGCGGCAACTGATTACATGTACATACAGTATTACTTTCATCAAAATGTAGAAAATAATATCTGCATGTACAATCAAAGACTTCAGCTTTGCTTAATATTTTATAGATTGTCCTTTTAGTTCGTTTAGTTCATTGTATGGGAATGCACTGCAGCAGATCACCTGTACCAAAAATGTAGAATCCTTAATTCAGGTTGGCTGAATAGAAAGTTCACTTTATGCAACCTCCTACAGTGTGCTTTGACCTATATGTTCAGAGGTATTACATCAGAATGTGATTTTAATGAGATTTGGTTCACAAAGCCATTTTCAACACTCAGACAATTTGAAATATTACTGAAGCTGTAGTTCATACTATTAAACACAGATATCTGTGAAGGGATCTGTATAAAATGGGACCCAGCTGTTGCTTTAGTGTAACCATGGTAACCAAACTCAACCAATACCTACATTCCCCATTACTGTAAGAGTTTTCCTTGTCATTTATCATAACAACAGCTCCTTTCAATATCTGTCAAAAAGGTTTACTGAATCACCAAGTTGAATTACAGCTTTTTCAGCTATATCACTAGTGGCTCTCCACTACTGGCTCTACACTACACACTTTTACATGTTGTACTCTTGCATCACTAATCAGGAGTATTAAGGCTACCCCCAGACTCCAACTCTTTGAATTACTGAGCAGGAAACAAGTCTTTTTTCTTACTAGTCGTTATGCGTACACTGGTCTGTTTTCATTCATTTTCACACTGGAATATAGCTTTCACATACCATGTATGGTGCATTGTGTGTATACTAAAACCTGGCTATAAATTTGTACAAACCTGTAGAGGTTATGAATTCTTTGAAGTAAAGTCCTCCCTGGGGTACATATAAGCATTAAAATGTCCATTTTAACATACCTATGACAGTTGTAACAATATTTCAATAAAATATTTTACCAAACAAAAACTCGATTTGTTTAGTGAGACCACCTCTATAGGGCCCCTCATTGGGGGCCCCTACAGCCAAGAGCAGGTAACTCTGGCTGCTTACCTCATACCTCACGTTTCATGCTGAGCGTGTCAGACAGAATGAGGGGAGGTGGGTGTCCGTACCCCAAGGAGGACTTTGCTTTAAAGAATTCATAACCTCTACAGGTTTGTACAATTCTATTTCAGAAGAAGTCCTCCTTGGGGAACATATAAGCATAATACAGACTCCCAACGATGGCGACTAGTGAGCGGTATTCTGTCTGGCTAACATTCCCCCTAGTTCAATCGAAGGCACAGCCGAAGCCGAGAGAGAGGGAGAAAATACACTTACCGAGTCACCTGACCGCTGATGTTAATCAGGCGGGGGAGTAGCGTAGAAGGCGGGGTATAAAGAGCCTAGCTTATACGCTTTTGGCGGAATTTTAATGACGGACATAAGTCCCACCCATCCCCCACCATCAAAATGGGAAGGAATGTATGGACAAGTCCTAAACATACCATTCATAATCCCAAACCAGCGAAGCGTGGTGCAGGGAAGAAAAACAGTGGATACAGCGTGTGACAACGCTAGAGCCAATAAAATCGGTAAAAACCACCACCAATCTGATACCGCCACCAACAAAAATTGTGGAATTTTATAAAACCGACACCAGGAAATAAAAACAATCGTGACTTCGAAAGCTCATTTGGCTAGAGAGTCACGACACTGCCCACTGGTGAGAACTGTCTGGCCAAACTGAGCACATTCCCGTGAGTGTTTGTCCAGTTGATAATGGCGGATGAACGTACTCGATTCGGTTCCAAATAGCAGCTGAGCAGATCTCCAAATGCAAATGCCTTAGATGTCGCCACTGCCCTAACCGAATGAGCCTTTAACCCATCAGGGAGAGTTAACCATTTAGACAAGCCACATAGATATGGTCTGCTTGTTCGCCGGAAGACCAGCCTTACCACTGCCATAACAGCAGAACAGCTGCTTATCTTTCCTGATAGCAGCTGTTCGTTTGATATAAGCCTTGAGAGTGTTACGGACATCTAAGACGTGAGCACGTCGAAGAGAGGTACCGGGTGATGGAGGCTGAGTGAAAGCTGGCAGTTCAATAGGCGCCGTTATGTGAAAGGCGCCTGCGATCTTAGGATGGTAAGAGTCTGGCAACCAAATACTGACTCTGTCTTTGTGAAAGGCAGTCAGAGCAGGAACCTCAGACATCGCATGGATATCGCCTACCAGCCGGCCAGATGTTAGCGCCACAAGAAAGGCAGCCTTCCAACTTAACAGCGGGAGTGAAAGAGGGACGGGGGACTAATCCGCCGGACAGTCGGACGGATTCTGTCCACGCCTGCTAAAAAGCGCTGCACAAGAGGGTGCTGACCCAAGAGAGCACCGTCGGCAGGTACATGGAAGGCAGAGATTCCCTTGGAGTAGCCCCGGATAGTAGACGCGGCTAAGCCGGCCTCTAACCGAGACTGTAAGAACTCCAGTACTTCAACTACAGTTGAAGAAAAGGGATCGAGAATCCCTCTGCTGACACACTAGCGCGTATAACAGGCCCATCTATCCTCATCTTAAATGTTTGTCGAATCTCTCCGAGGAGCCAGAATTGTGTCTGCAACTGGTGCAGGAATTCCGCTCGCTTGGAGGAGATTCCGGACAGTGGCCAGGCCACCCACTGAATCCTGAGATTCGGGTGTGGCACTCAGTTCTGGGATAGTAGGTCCGGTCGAAAGTGTTTTAGTACATGAGGCTGAGCCAGAAACCTGAGTAGTACCGGAAACCAGCTTTGAGCCGACCAAAGAGGTGCAAGGAGCACAAGAAGTCGAGCTGGTTGGGTGGCAAGCTGCGAGAGGACTTTGAGAATCAGGGGTACTGGCGGGAATGCCTACAGAACCCTGCCCGTCCAATCGAACTGGAAAGCGTCCGAGGCGATGGCTCTCGGATCGGGTATCCGAGAGAAAAACACTGGAATCTGGTTCGTCCCCCCAGAAGGAAACAGATCCACCTGGAACGACCCGAACAACTGGGAGATAATCCCTAATATCTCCCGATTGAGCATCCACTAGTGCGGGGCCAGGATACGCCGAGAGAGAGCGTCTGCCCGAACGTTGTCCGCCCCGGGGAGATAAACAGGCATCACCCGTATGTCGAACTGGTCGCACCAGAGCAGAAACTGCCATGCTTCCTGCAGGAGGGACGGGGAAACCGTACCGTCCTGCTTCAGGATAAAGGTCATCGCCACTATCTCTAGACGAACCACACGGCCTCGAACCCGCTCCTGAAGTCGTTCGAACACTAACCTGACTGCTCTCAATTCTAGCACATTGATGTGCAGTTGAGCCTCGCTCTGTGACCACAGGCCTGAGACTGACAGGTCGCCCAGCACGCTGGCTGGAGACTGCGAACACGCCGGCAAAGTTACAACAAATCATGAATGAAAAAAGTCATACGAAGATTCCAGCTAGAGCCCGTGCGAAAAAGAAGGAACCATACATACAGTATTTGACTCTTTCTCACTCATTTTCTCTATTGTAGTATCAGGCGAAGTCTTTCTCTGGAACATGCACGACCGTTCTAGTCAACGACAGCATGAAAAGTGAGGTACGAGGTAAGCAGCCAGAGTTACTTGCTCTTGGCTGTAGGGGGCCCTGTGAGGGGCCCTATAGGGGTGGTCTCACTAAACAAAACAAGTTTTTGTTTGGTAAAATATTTTATTGAAATATTGTTACAACTGTCGTAGGTATTTTAAAATGGACATTTTAATGCTTATATGTACCCCAAGGAGGACTTCTTCTGAAAAAGAATACCATGGTTACCATACTTTTTTCATGCTTGTGACACATCAATGATAAGACTCCATATCATACTCGTGTCTGTTTGTCAACTTACTGGTCATGTAGCTTCATGCAAATATGGATTTTCAACTCAAATTTCAAAACCTAGCAACCCGTGAACGTCCAGGTTAGAATTGATCTTCAGTAACCCATGCTTGTCGTAAGAGGCGACAAACGGGATCGGGTGGTCAGGCTCGCTGACTTGGTTGACATATGTCGTATCCCAATTGCATAAGTTGATGCTCATGCTGTCGACCACTGGATTGTCTGGTCCAGACTCAATTATTTACAGACCGCCGCCATATGGCTGGAATATTGCAGCAATGCTGAGCGTGGTGTAAAACTAAATTCACTCACTCACTCCATATCTTGGTCAGTGACATGCATATTGAGTGACATGGCCTCGGCATAGGTGTCACCATGAGAGTTTCAATGATTCCCAGCTCTATTGTTTGTTTAGTTTTCGAATAACATAACAATAGCAGTTATTATGAATTTGCAAATTTTCATAATCAAGTCTGAACCAGATACTCCTGGCCAGTGCTTGATATTACTGGCAACGTCCCACAATGAAGTACAATGACATGCAGTGGAATGCCTGAAACCTTTCATTATCAAGTTCCCAAAAGTGTTTCAGGTTTAAGAGAAGAATTATTAACAACTCACACAAAATGGTTGTCAAAGTATTCCTTTTCCTGTCGAGCACGGCTATCTGGAGCTGACCACAGTTTTTGAGGCGGCGTGGTGACCTGGAACAGCTATACCACCAAGCAAGATGGCAATGATGACAGCACTGACGCCAAAAACGATGTATGGGTGTCTGGCACACATAGTTCCCCAACGACTGAAACCTTTCTCAAACATCATCTCCATCTTAGCTCCAAGCTTCTCAGTGAATCCTAGCTGATCCTTCCTGATGGAGGAGAAGGAATTCTTCCTCCTCTTCTTCTTGCCCTGGTCATCAATCCTGTAGATTCGGTTCCGTCTTCATCTTCCTCATCAATCTCATCCAGGAGGAGCGAGTCCTGCACAATGATGTTGTAGCAAATCGCATACACTCCAAAGAAGGCTATGAAGAAGATGAAGATGGCTCCCATGACAAAGCAGTAGCCATCGATGTGAAGGATCTTCCAGGGCTTTGGTGGTGGAGGTGGTGGGATCTGGGGCGTACACATGTCCGCACAGTCCTGGCAACTGCAGGGATTGGAGTCGTTAGTCAGAGCCTGAGAACAGGGGATGATTTTTGCTGTAAGTGGTTCCAGTTCCGGGAAGACCTTGCTGGAGTTTCCAAGATGGAAGTTTATCTGGAAAGGTGTCTGTCCATTGCCTGTGCCACCCATGAAGTCCAGCCAGTTCTGAGGTGTGCACTGATCAGCAGTTTTACCACACAGGATACCCAAGGCTCGTTCATTAGCACTGGGCATCTGCACGTTCTTACACGAGTTGAACATGCCATTGGCAAATGATGGAGACACCAGGCAGTCCACAGACTTCACGGCAACTGTTCCTTTGGCAGTAGCATTTTTGGTGGTTTCAGTTGTATTGATGCGCAAAAACCTGCTATGGTCTGGGGCACATGTGAAGTAGCAGTACAAGTTGACAAAGTTGTGGAAGCAGGAAGGGCATCGTGAAAGCACCTGCTTAGGGACATCCATGTTGGACTGAAGGATTTTCAGCTGCTCAGCAGAGCAACAGGTCATAGGGGCACTGCCATCTGGAAAAATTGTCAACACTTAAAGACATCTGCCAATGCTAAACCAATTTCAAACACACCTACATAAAAACAAGACATGATACACTTCTCATCTAAGATGGAAATCTGTTCAAAGGTATCATTTGTACCATAAGCTATTCAGAAGATTACTCCTGACTTTCCAACAGCAATCTGCTAAAGGTTAATAGAAACAACTAAACCATTTCCATAGCCACAGGAAATCTCTGCTACACCAGATTCAATTATAAGATTCCAACGGTATGATAACATGTGCTTATGAATCACTATAATATGGTGATGATACCAGATGTTTGTGTTAAGGTCAGTGTATCCTACCATACTGGTGGCCCCTGTCACAAATTACAGGGTTTTCCTTTGACTTACAAAACTGGAGTGAGTGAGTATGGCTTTACACTGCTTTTTGCAATATTCCAGCAATATCACAGTGGGGAGACACCGGAAATAGACTTCACACATTGTACCCATCTCCAATCAAGCCCGGGTCTTCAGCATGACAAGCGTCCCTACAAAACTGGAAGGCCAAAGGACACCCAATTATTAATTTTAAGATTTTCTATTTAAATGAAAGAGTTCTGAAAAATACTTAAAATGTGTAATGTACCCTACTGTAAAGTTTGTTTCGATTCCAAGATTGATGCTCATGCTGTTGATCACTGGATTGTCTGGTAGAGACTTATTTTTTTACAGACTGCCACCATATAGCTGGAGTATTGCTGTGTGTGTCGTTAAATAACAAACAAACAAAACATTAATTACAGGATTTATATTTCTTAGCAAGTATGTACAATATCATGGGTCTCCACAACATAACATACTCACTTTTCCAAAGTCATTACTATAAATTTAGTGTCTACAGTGGTCTACAGAATGGATATTTCTCTGACACATAACACCCTGATACTGTAAATATCTTCATTCTCCAGATTCCCAATTGTCCAGCAATATATCATTAAAATACCTTAACATAACTCATTTCTGAGACATGACTTAAGGCCCCGGCATTTAAGTTTATCCATACCATTCCGATCATACAGCTTACACTCTTACCATGCTAACATGATCAAACACAAGGAACCTCCTAGCCTGAAGATGAATACACTCACTAGTCATGTCGTAGAGGTCCGGACAGTAGTCCCTGTATATCTTCACCGCTTCTTCGTCTTCCAGGGGCTGGGCAGTGCCATTGTAGGCACAGTTGATGATCTTTCCCGTTTCAGTATCGGTTCCACATGTGTCGTACCAAATACAATGACCTTCCTCTGCAAATACCTGCCAAAACACAAGGACAGTTCAGTAACAGGGCTTTACCTTGACCAGAGTGAGTGAGTGAGTGAGTGAGTGAGTGAGTGAGTGAGTGAGTGAGTGAGTGAGTGAGTGAGTGAGTGAATGAGTGAGTTAAAATTTATAGTCACATCGGCAGTATTTCAGTCATATCGTGACCACGCAAGTTGTAAATTTGTTCATTAATGAATTTATTAACTTAGTTAATATATATACTTACTTTTTTGCAAAGGACAGTAAACTAAGTAGTTTATCACAGATTTACATTTAAAGCTGAAGGTTACTGAAGATCAATTCACTTCAATTCAACAGATCTTCACTTGCTGTAAAGTAATGTAACGATGCAGTGTACTGTACTGTACCAGTAAATAATGACCATAATTTATGCACTTTGTACTTTCTGTAAAGAATTTGGTACAATAATTATCACTGTACGTCCCTTGGAGTCAGTATATTTTTTAAACGTGTCCATTCTATATGTCTGTGCAGGGCTCGATTTAGTGCTTTGTTACTTGCACTGGTGCAGTCCAATATTACAAAGTGCAACCTAATTATTACTATTAGTCTAACTTTCACCAGGTGCAAGTCAATTTTTGAGTGGGTAAACTTTTAAATAAAACATCTAAATAATTCAATAGCATATTTCTTTCATTACATATTTCAACAAAAGCAGAGCAATGGGAGTTTCGCTGGTGCAACCAGGTTTTATCTTAGGTTGCACCAGGTGCAAGTAGGCTACCATCTCTTAAATCAAACCCTGCTGTGCTTATTGGATGCACATTTCTGTGTAAAACACTGAAACAGATTGAAAACATTCCAGTCTGCAAGCTGTCTCTGAGCATCCTTTAAATGTTACTGTCACAATACAGACAATTATTACCTACGAGGGCGAACATATCGGGGTTCATATTTTTCATACGATGCTCTAGGGCAAAATATCACTTTGTCATGGTGACGTGACGTCATTAACAATGCTATGACGTCACGTTTCTTCTGTGACGTTGCGTTCTACATGCCGCGGTGGGTAGACAGCCTATGTTTGAAAGTAGATTTGGGGTATTTTCCTCAATTTGACGACTTCGGTAATAAACAGAATATTATATTCGTGCCCATATCATACTATGTTTACAACACTCGTGCCTAAATAACGGTATATCCCTTGCTCTCGCTCGGGAAATACCAACATTTAGGCACTTGTGTCGTAAACATAGTATGACAAGGGCACTGATATAATATCCTCTATTTACAAGTCGGTTAAGACTGACTTGCATATAGAAGTAGAAGGAACCTGAACACATGAAAGTCATTATGAATAATAACTTCCTTATTGTCTGTAACCATTTTTCAAGTTAGTTTCAATATGATAGACAGCACTCAATTACAACAGTTGAGACCAAGGTCACTTTTAAGAGAAAATAAATAAAACCGCTTTTTCTTTTTAAATTTACATATCTCTCACATAGCAGGAAATATTATACTGCGCATTTTTCCGTGTAGACTACATGAATTATCCAATGAATACTGTTATTATCATCATGATTATAATCATATTTATTATTATTATTATACAAAACTACTAATCATGCTACTTGAGCTTCTGATAATTCAGCTCTTAAACACTAAAGGATGAAAGGTGGTCCCAAACCAAAATCTTCTAAAGAAACCAAATGGTTGCTCTCTAATTGCAGCATATTCATGATTTTGCTGCCTTGTCAGAACAATACAGGAAGCGATTCGGGTCTTCGGGTCTGAATTGGTCTTCAGCTATCCATGCTTGTCTTAAGAGACCGCCTCCGTGGTGTAGTGGTTAGAGCGTCTGCCCGGAGAGCGGTAGGTCGTGGGTTCGATCCCCGACCGCGTCATACCAAAACACGTTAAAATATGGTACTTGTTGGTCCCTGCCTGGCGCTCGGCATTAATGGGTACAAGAAGGACTGGTCGGCTCGGTGTCTGAGTGGGGTATTCGTGCTTCACTGCGGCATGGTATCTCAGTGGGCTAGCACTATAAAACCAGCTTAAGTCTGGGCTAGTACAAGCAGCCGCACATACACATACACACGCATGCACGCATATTCTCCAGCATGACGTTAAACCCAATTTCACCTCACCTCACCTTGTCTGAAGAGGCAACTAACAGGACTGGGTGGTCAGACTTGCTGACTTGGTCGACACATGTATTCATGTCCAAATTACGTAGATCGATGCTCATGCTGTTGATCACTGAATTGTCTGGTCCAGACTTGATTATTTACAGACCACCGCCATATAAATGAAAAATTGCTGAGTGCGGCATTAAACAACAAACAAGAAACAAAAACAAAATGGAAAAATACAGAACGCTATCTTACTACAAATACTATTTATATAGACACCATGTATTCATGTAACATGTAAATGTCATACATATTATAACATTCTACATATGTATTTTCAAGTCCAAACGTTGGTGTTTTTCACTTATCTTAACATGCATAACAAAACATTGATTCTTCACGAATATACAACCTACACTATCATAAAGTAGAGTAGAGTTTAAATATTAGGTATTTGTGAAAGCAATAGTTTCAAGTATTTCCTGGTCTTGATCATGTATTCACGAGGAGAATCACATGGCTATTCTCCTCACACGCCCAGTGGTGACACAGGGAGGCTGGGAAAGCAACACTCTATGTATCCTAGACTTTGGACCACTGGACAATGAATACTCTTAACAGGGCTTACATGTGACAATGCTGACAGCCTTTCTGAATCCATGATTCAATTTCCATATCATACAGTTATCCACATGAAATCTGCTGTTTCTATCTACATCGTTTAACCAGTGGTCACTAGCAGGTCAAACATTAACAACCGATTAACAGGATTAATGAAATATAGCATGGTTAGGTGAAATGCTGATTTTCAGCCATCAACATTTTAGAAATACTAAAACAGTAATCAAGACTTTCAAAAAGTGAGGGTGGGGTGAGTGGCAGCAGGGGTGTTAGAGGGTGGGGTGAGTGGCAGCAGGGGTGTTAGAGGGTGGGGTGAGTGGCAGTAGGGGTGTTAGAGGGTGGGGTGAGTGGCAGCAGGGGTGTTAGAGGGTGGGGTGAGTGGCAGCAGGGGTGTTAGAGGGTGGGGTGAGTGGCAGCAGGGGTGTTAGAGGGTGGGGTGAGTGGCAGCAGGGGTGTTAGAGGGTGGGGTGAGTGGCAGCAGGGGTGTTAGAGGGTGGGGTGAGTGGCAGCAGAGGTGTTAGAGGTGGGGTGAGTGGCAGCAGGGTGTTAGAGGGTGGGGTGAGTGGCAGCAGGGGTGTTAGAGGGTGGGGTGAGTGGCAGCAGGGGTGTTAGAGGGTGGGGTGAGTGGCAGCAGGGGTGTTAGAGGGTGGGGTGAGTGGCAGCAGGGGTGTTAGAGGGTGGGGTGAGTGGCAGCAGGGGTGTTAGAGGGTGGGGTGAGTGGCAGCAGGGTGTTAGAGGGTGGGGTGAGTGGCAGCAGGGGTGTTAGAGGGTGGGGTGAGTGGCAGCAGGGGTGTTAGAGTGAGTGGCAGCAGGGGTGAGGGTGGGGTGAGCAGCAGGAGTGTTAGAGGTGGGGTGAGTGGCAGCAGGGGTGTTAGAGGGTGGGATGAGTGGCAGCAGGGGTGTTAGAGGGTGGGGTGAGTGGCAGCAGGGGTGTTAGAGGGTGGAACTGGCGCTTATTTAATGGAGCCGAACGTTTGACTAAACATACCAAAGGCAAGTTCTGCCAGCGCTACGCATAGCACAGGTTATGATATAATTTTTGAACATCACTAGTATGCAAGGCTGGCTAGATTATTGTTTTCTATCCAACTACATGTTTAAGCAGACTGTTTTTCACATGGCTGAATTGGGGAGGATTCTGTTTGAATAGCGAAGAAAGAAACTTATTTCAAATTTCAACACTAGAGAATATCAATTTATTTGGCAGAGCAATGGCCAGAGGCAACATGAGATACTCACACTGTTCTGGCACCACCGGAGTGAAAGGCACCTGTTTCTAGTACGATTTAAACTCTAATTACCATCTTATATTTTTAGGATATTGGTTTTATTTTTTAGGTTAATTTACTATACTTTACTACATGGAAAGTTATTTTACCAAGTCAGGTTACCTGGATCATAATTTCACTAGCTCAAAAGAAAAGAAAGCAGCCATTGGAGTGAGTGAGTAAGTTTAGTTTTATGCCGCTTTTAGCAACGTTCCAGCAATATCATGGCGGGGACACCAGAAATGGGCTTCACACATTGTACCCATGTAGGGCCATTGGAACAGAGCACTGGTTATTGTTCATACTGTAGCTACCCCAGTAAAACTTATTTATAAATCACTTCAGCAATGTATGGCTGACTATTGTGAGTGACCAACCAGGAAAATGTTTATCATTATACCCACACAATAAATCCACTGCAACTGAGAAACTGCCCATAAAGCTGTTGGTTTTCAGCCCTGACGTCATCCTCCTTCATCAGGATGACGTCAACTCATTCCCTCCTATCATCCCAAAGTTTCATCTTGAGATCAGTTTGAATGACAAGACACTAAATATAGCCATCCATCCATCACTCTTCTTATGCTTATCATTCAGAGAAATACTGTGCTTAGTTAGAGATATGATTGACGGAGGTGATGACACCATCACATCCCGAAACAAAACTGTGACAATGCATAGGTCCATGATACACACCATATTGTGACCCATTATTGTGATACATAGAATGCCCTCAGTATAATGATATCTGTCGCATCGTGACCTATTATCATCATTGTGATATGCATCCCACTGTGACCTGACCATTTTATCAATTATCTTACTGTGACAATGCTATCAAGAAACAAATCAGATTATGACCTCATTATAATGCATAACCGAAAATATGAGCAAGACCTCCCTCTCAAATACATACACAATGACCTCACTACCATGATACATAGTGTGACCTCCCTATTATGAGATGAAGAGTAATAACTGCGACCTCACTACCATGACACATATA